TTACCACCTGAGCTGGAACTAACAAGGACTGTACCAGGGGAAAGGATTGGGTCCAGACTAGGAAGGAGTGTAGTCTGTGAAAGAAGCTTATTGGAACATCTCTAAGGGTGAGATTTACCTGTATTCAGTTTCTTAATGTATTAGGCTTAGACTTGCGTTTTTTGTTTTATTTTGCTTGGTAACTTACTTTGTTCTGTCTGTTATTACTTGAAACCATTTAAATCCTACTTTTTATACTTAATAATATCACTTTTGTTTATTAATTAACCCAGAGTAAGTGATTAATACCTGTGGGAACAAACAGCTGTGCATATCTCTCTATCAGTGTTATAGAGGGCGGACAGTTTGAGTTTACCCTGAATAAGCTTTATTCAGAGTAAAACGGATTTATTTGGGGTTTGGATCCCATTGGGAGCTGGGTGTCTGGGTGCTGGAGATAGGAGTACATGCTGAGCTGTTTTCAGTTAAGTCTGCAGCTTTGGGGGCATGGTTCAGACCCAGAGTCTGTGTTGCCACAGGTTAGCGTGTCTGGCTCAACAAGGCAGGGTTCTGAAGTCCCAAGCTGGCAAAGAAAATGGGCCCAGAGGTAGTTTCAGCACATCAGATGACAGTCCCAAGGGGGTCTCTGTGACAGAACCCATCACACATCTCTTGCATAGTGCTGTGTACACCTCAGGTGCTCTGGAAATAAGAATCCAGCCTTTCCTTAAACATCTTGAGCTATATCATCAGGTGCTGTAAATCAGCGTAGCTCTGACTTGAATGAAGCTTCACCAGTTTACACAGGCTAAGAATTTGGCCCCCAGTTGTTTGTTCTGTTTGTGTATATCCCACTCCGTGCCCTGTGTGCCATCGTCTTGTGACTGGTGTAAGTAGGAAGCTATTCAGGGCAGGAATATGTCTTTAGTCACTGTGGCAATGCCATAGTACTGTATACAAATGCTAAACACTGCTGGCTGCAGACAGACCAAAGTCCACTGACCTGCTTCCTGGTATCAAACCTGTATCATTGCCTCCCTGACCTACCCCTCCCTTTCTGGAGTGAGATCATTCACACCAGGAGTCTTGCCTAGATAACCTGACATTACTTTCTTATGTGTCATTTCCCAGATTTGGTTGGAATGCTTTTGCAGCTCTGAGAAATGGGTTTGCTTTTCTGGTATTGATTGAATGAGCCATTCTTCCAGCTCCGTCTCCTTTCTCCCCTCCTGCTCACTCCAAGTCACCTTCACTGTTTGTGAGAACACACCAGTTACCCTGAGAGCAGGCTACAGCTGCAGAAACAAACGATTTCAGGAGCAGGCTGAACTGAGAGCCGACTGTATGAGTCTCTGCAGAAGTGCTCAGCTGTTTGCCTGGGGAGCATGACTGGCTGTGTTTTACTTGATCACAAAATATGTATTAAACGTGACATGTGATTTCTAAAGGGGAAAGACCTCTCCTGAAATGTGACCCGGGTAAAGTTCCCCTCACTCTTTCAGTAAGTAGATGGCTTTTTTTCAGAGGGCTGGGAGTCCCCTGGGAATTTTCTGGGGTTATTTCAATTCCCCATGCCCTTGGCCCAGTAGGGCTGGGCTTAGTTTTCTCTGGTGTCTATTGGTGCTCCTCTGAGCATCTGTCAGAGGGGGGGTGCTGGAGAGTGGCTGAGTGGAAACCCATTCAAATGGGGAAGCGCTCAATCACTTCAATGCTCCCCAGGCCTTCCTGCCAGGCTCAGCAAATGAGACTCTGAAACAAATCTCCCACACTGCAGTCTTTACAGGAGTTAGGAGCGTTATCCTGTAGGTCCAGACCAAACTCCAATGTGGGTAGCTCAGTTCTGCCTCTCTGAATTCCCCCTGCACCTGCAGTTGGGTGTAGAATTTTTAATTCCTTATCTTAAACTGTAGTGCAGAGTTGCTGTGTGCTGTTACAGAGATGGCACGTCTCACCCCAGAGGTGGCTGCATTTTTCAATGATGAGCGAAGATTCTTGCATGTCTAGCTTGTGACGTGCTCTGGGATCCTTTGGGATGAAAAGTGGTATACTGTAAAATTGTCACTAGATTAGAGATATTTTTAATGTCTATTTCTCTTTCATCTTTGTACCAAATAACTTCCTACCTTTCCCTTTACATCTGTTTTTGTTCAGCTGATTGGTTCATTGACACAGTGCTTTAAACAAAACAAGGCCGAAGGACTAATTCTGTGTTAGCAGAGAACAGTGACTCCGCTCTGTTGGAATGCAGTTGTTTTACCTTTGGAGAGGATGTGCCAAGGCAGGTTTGCATAACAAGGGCATGGGGTTTACAGGCCTTCCCAAGGCTCTGATGTGTAGCGGACACACCTCTGCAATATGTGTGTGTTGGATACTTTTTATAGCACAATAATAATAACTAAAAGGGAGTTTCCTGGAATCACGAACTCGAAGATCTAAATTCAGGCTCTGGCTGTGCTTTCACTCCCACTTCCCCAATCTGACTGAGTCCTGGAAATATCCCAGAGAGGAGCTGATCAGGTGACAGAGCTTAACGGATGCAGCTGCTAGGTTAGCACAGATCTGTGCCCAGAGGGCCTCTGCTCCCTTCCCCTGTCAGTATGCAAAGTAGGCTCACCTGGTGTGTGGCGAGACAGAAATTTCTGTGTAAATTTAGAAGAATGGGTTGGTGGAATCAAGACTCGTTAAGCTTTTTACTGTCTCTAAATGAGCCAACCAGTTAGGATCCAAAGAAGGAGGCTGGCCCTGGAATCTGGTTTAGAATTCTGCTCTCTCCCCACAGTCCCAGCTGAGTTAGGCCCTGTTTTCTTTTAATAGTGTTTGGAAGCCGTGGCTAAACTGTCTGACAACTAGGCTGCTCCTAAGGCAGCTTGGCTGCCAAGGAGGATCTAGTGTAAAGTCAGGGTCTGGGAGCAAACGCTATGTGCGCACTCAAGTTGCTGGACTTGTCTGTGTGTCGTGTAATATTTAGTAACCATATCTTGTGCATAGGCATTCCTGTGCCAGCTCAGACTATTGGTCTGGTTAGACTAATGTCCTGCCTCTGGCACGGGCACAGATCTGAGGCGTTTGGGGAGTTGTGGAGCTCTATACGCTTTAAGGGTGGGCTAGAATGCCGTCCTGCCTCCCAAACACCATCAGCTTGCACCCTGAAACATGAAATACTGCCAGTAGGAAATCTTGAAGCTCTGAGTGCATTAACATGCACACTACGTGCTGTGTTAGCTTGTTATTTTGCATGTCTTTGAGAAGCAACTGGTCCTGCCCTTAATTCTTGATGAATTACTGTACTGTCACTGAGTTAATGTGCTGTTCCTTTCCTTATCAAATGCCCTTGGCAAAATGAATAGGCCCTCTCAGCAATTTAAACTGGCAATAAACAACTAAAAATTGTGGGGTTGTCAGAGAAGGCCTGGAAGAGAGCTGAGTGCTTCTCTCATCTGCTGATTCACTGTAAACATAACCAGTATTGAGATAATAATGTAATAGTTCCAACAAAGACACTATTTGTGGCCGAGAAAAAAATATTTTCAAAGGTTCAAATATCAGTATTATTTTACATTTTAAAAACAGGTGTCCATATCTATGCTGCAAATACTGCCTCACATTAAAAATGGAAGCATTTTAGAAATCTAATTTATTTTTCATTATTTGTCCTTCTTTTCCCCTTTTTACATTTTAATCAGCTTGAGCAGTGAGTATAGATAATCACTTCATGGCTAGTTTCTGGTCAGTTTCACTTTTAGAGTCTCATACTAGCACTGTGCTGTAATGCGTCAGTTACAAACACTGCAGGGATGTTTGTTGGGATTTCTAAAATGTCTGTGGCAGCATTTCTGCTGGTGTATAGTTCTATGAAAGATTGCTTTTACAGAATACAATTTGAGGGCTAAATGTGAACTGAGCCTTTGGGACTAGTCTTTTTATTTAGTTTTTTATGCATTAAGCAAATATTCCTCAATAGTTATCTCTTGTTTACTTAGGGATTTATATTTCTCAGGCAGTGTTGTCTAGTGGGTAATGCTGGGGATCTAGGTGTCAAGCCACCTGGGTTCCATTCCCGAACTTACTGCTGACTTCCTGCATGACCGTGGCCAACTTCCTGCATGACCGTGGCCAACTCCCCGTCCCCACTTCCTCATCTGTAAAATGGGGGTATGACGATTTCCTGCCTTCCATGGGATGATGAGGTGCTCAGTGTTTGTGAGAAGGGAAGTAGTAAGTTACCCAGGATGTGTGGCTTACATTGACCCGGACTGGAACACAATTTCTTTAAAAAGTTAAAAAAACAAAAAAAAAAATCTCGACTTGGACTCAGTACAGAACTTGGGGACTGTGAGAGCTGCTCTTGATATTGTCCTTACAGTAGGGCTGGACTTAGCCTACCAATCTTCTATTTAACTGTATAATTATGATGTTTTAGTCACCTGATCCTGGAGTTGGATTAAGAAATGACCATAACACTTGCATATCCTTTGAATGATCAGCAGATACCATCTTGAACTCCTCTCTCATGGTGTTTCTGTGAAGAAGAGACAGTGTCTCCCCCCTGGAAGTGCTCAAGCACTAGATTGTATTGAGGGTTGCACGCAGGGGTGAGATCTGTATATAGCATCAGTATTTAAGGGAGGGAGCATGCTAACATGACCCAGCACAGATGGAATCTGAGTCAGCTTTGGCATTCATCTTTCTTATGCAGTGCTCTGTTGTATTGATCCCCTCCAAGCCTGCAATGTCTTGCACTCAGTAGCCTGTGCTGGCATACTCATGAGTGGAGCAGTCAATACACTAGTTAGCGTCTAGTGAACTTAAAACCCTCGGGCAGGAGGCCTACAGCCCAGCAGTGTGTGTACAGATGCCCATGCCGTGCTGGCTTCTAGATCTCCTACCCAAAGGTTTTAACTTCATCAAGGCCCACTTGGGCAGCATTTAATTCTGTTGTCAGGCCACTAAACTTTGATCACTGTATGGTTGTTCGATTTGAGGGGAACTAACTGGCATGGTGTGTTCTTTTGCATGTGCAGAAAGGAGCATTGGAAACTGCTGGGCAATTTGAAGACCACCGTCGAGGGATTAGTGTCCAGCAACAACCCAAACGTCTGGTCTAAGTATGGCGGCTTGGAGCGGCTGTGCAGGGATATGCACAGCATCCTCTATCACGGGCTCATCCACGATAAGGTAGGGTTTGGCACGTGGGGCAATCTGGCGTTTATCACCATGTTGCTGTTTTAACAGGTGGCGCTTTGGTTACCGAGAGAATCCTTTGGTGCATGACTTCTGGAAACCACGAGTGAGATGATCTGTAGTGAGCCTTATTTGCATTGAAGCAGCAGGCTGATGGTTTTATTAGCATCAAGTTTGCTGGGGCTAAAGCTCTAATGGGGGGATTGTTTTCTGCAGCAGGACGGGAAGTCAGGACTCCTGGGTTTTTATCCCCAGCTCTGCCACTGATTTGCTGTTTGACCTTGGGCAAGTAATTTCCTCTCTTTGTGCCTCAGATTTCCCGTGATGATCCTGCCCTACTCAGAAGGGGATAGGGAGGGTTAATATTTGTACAATGCAGTGAAATCCTCGCATGTGGGTAAATTGTCAGTATGAACATAGGCAGCCATCAACCCAGGGAATGGTCTTGCCTCAGGCTTCATCACACTAGGGAAAACTCCTGCAGCTATTGGATTTGAGTGCCTGTCCGCTTGCCTGTCACTTCACCTCTCCTATCATTTCGTGCCACATTTTGCTAAGCATTGGTGATCTCTGCTGTGAGAAGCTGCCTGGCCCCACCCACCCATTTGTTTCTGCCTGTTGGATCCCCCAGCAATGACCATGCTGAATTTGTAATGAGGCAGTCTGCTAACATGGAGCTGAAATGTGGGGTCTTGGGCAGGGTTGCAGCTTCTTAGCCTGGTCTGGGAGGAGAAGCCCTATTCCTTAATGTTCTTGATTATGAGATAATAAATCAGTCTGACTCCTGCATCCATGCTTCACACAAACATGATTTCTCTTGTTTTGCACTCACTGCTTCCTGGCTGCTGTTGCTTATATCAGTGGTCCTGGGGGACTGTGAGCAGGTTTCAGGGGGTTCTCCAAGCAGGGCCAGCAGAAAGCCAAAGCCCCACTGCATGGTGCTGAAGCCTGGGGCCCTGAGCCCTGCCAGCGAGGCCGAAGCCTGAGCAACTTAGCTTCCCGGGGTAGGGGGGCCCTTGTGGCATGGGGCCCCTGTGGCATGGGGCCCCAAGCAATTGCCTGCTTCCTAGCTGCTTAGCAGTGCAGGAGAGGCCGTTGGTGACTTGCAGTGTTAGAAGACACAAAATCTCTGCTGCTTTGTTTGCCAGGATGTTTTTGTGTTGGCCTCCGTCCCTCCCTGAAGTTAGACTCTTTTTGCACTGCTGTCTGATCAGAAAGTTCTTCCCAGTTTGTGCTGCTGTTAAGAAAGAGAATACTGATAACAGTGACTTATGCAATGTTGAACTCAGCAAAAATTTCAAGAGAACAAGTGAAGAGAGGCAAGCGTGCAACTTAACCCGGCAAACGGCATTCAAATGTCCCTGTTCCCAGATCTGCTTTACCTTCAAAGCAGCTGGAATCTGGAGAACATTTCCCGCTCCCTCTGAGCAACCAAGCCCACTAGCTCTGCTAGGTTGGGACTTTACGAGAGTGTTGTACTCACCAGCCTGTGGGGAGGGATTCTGATTCAGTCGTACAATTGTGGTCCCAGGGCTGGCGTGGGGGAGTCAAGTTTCACTTGACTCCAGAGGAGTCAACATCCTCATTTCCCTCCTTCCTGTCACGAAAGCTCACCATTTAAATTAACCATGGCCGTGTTGCAAGGGGATGGGACGCTGTCCCTTTAAGACACAGGTCTCAGCCTTAACGGTAGCCCTTCCCCTGGGTTGCGCAGTAGAGCACAGAAGCATGAAGCAGATGGTGATGGTGGTCATGAAGTAACCAGGCAGAGGTAAGGGGGAGAAAGGTCTGACTTTTCCGCGTGAATCTCTCTGCCCCATGCACTCTGACACCCTGAAGCTGAGAGGTATCTGGGGCTGGAGTGGAGAGAAGGATTTATTTGGCACATTCCCCACACTGCCTCACCTTCCTCATGCTGCAGCCTCGAACCCGCGCTGCTTTCCTAATGGGCAGAACGGTGATCCGCTCCCCATTGCTTTGGTGCGGTGTCACCTTGGTGCTGCATGGGGCCAACAAGGTCGTTATTGCGATGAGCCCGCTTGACCGGGCAAAACTTCCTGTCTCCCGCTTTGCCGGACTCTGCACGGCTCTGCCCTCCCAGCTTGGATTGCGCCTTGTTTCGCTTTCACTGTGCTAAGAGTCAAATATGCCCAGGCTCCCAGCTGAACCTGCAAATAGGTGGGATCTGTGCAGGGTCTTGCGTTGACTTCTTCACTGCCAGTCCTCTCCTCCAACTGCTTTCCTCCTGCAAGCTTCTGCCCCTTGAAAATCGGTGCACAGCTGGGCTGTTCCTTTTCTGTCTGGCAGGGCAGGAGGTGCGTCCGGCAGGGCGTTTGGCACCTGGGTTTTGAGCAGCAGTGCAGGCTCTAATTGCCAGCCTCCTCCTTATGTTGGGCCCCATGGCAGTGAATTAATGATTAACCCTCTCCCCTTCACACCAGACCGCCATGCAATTGCTATGCTTTGGCTTTTTTCCTGTCCATATTCTTCCTCTCTCTTTACGGCCTCTTGCTCTTTCACTTTCTCTTTTCCTTTTTTTTTTTTTCTTTTCTCGTTTTGTTGCTCCCTGTGCCTGTTTGCAAAAAGGCTTCTGGCTGCTGAGTGCCAGGGGACATCCACTGATGGTTCTTCAGGGGCCCCGTTAGGCTGTGTTGCAAGATGAGACACAGAGAGTACCAGTGCGCTGCTCCTGCCGCCTGAGAATTGCGCCTATGGCCGGCTGTGTGAGGAATGGTTAGCTGCAAGAGCAGGCAGAGGAGGTGTAGTTCAGTAAGCTGCTCACCACTTCCCCCCAGAGCAGCATGTTTGCAGTGGGGCCTGAGAGCTGGCTCTAGGGTCATGCAGATCCCGGGCCCCACTGCTCATCTCCTGCCCTGTGTCTCCCAGAGCAGATTATTGCACCCCAGGGGTGGGAAATGCTAAGTTACTCCGCAGTTGTTCAGTGGAATGTGCTGGCACTGAAAGCACTGGGTGTCCTACTGGCATGGTTGACTCAGTCACATCCTGCATGTGTTAGGAAAGGGTTAATGAGTTTATGCTCTCCACATACCTGTGAGGCAGGGCAGTGCATTATCCCCGTGTTACAGATGGGGAACGGAGGCACAGAGAGACTTGCAAGGTCACGCAAGGAAGTCTGTGACAGAGTCGGGAATTGAATCCAGGTCTCCTAATGCCCTAACCACTGGGCCACCCTTCTTCTCTCTCACCCATATCAACACCTGCGAGTGACTCATCGTGCTGTCAGCTGAGCGGTGCGGCGACCTCGCGAGAGGCTGCCGAAGGTCGCATTAACTGCGTGGGTCGCTCAGCACCTGTCAGCGTTGTGGCGGGGTTTATCAGGCAGAGTCTAACTGTGTTTTCCGGGCAGGTGTACTGCAGGCAGAAGGATTACTGGCAGTTTGTGAAAGACATCCGCCGGCTGAGCCCGCATTCTGCTCATCACGTGGAGAAAGTGAGTTCTGGCGGGGTTGGGATTGGAGGACGGAGCTGGCTTGGAGATCTCAAGGCTGCTGCTTTCCCTGGCCAGCAAAGCATGACTAGGGTGCACAGTTTGGTTCTCACGATTAACTGAGTGACTGAAGCGTTAGGCTGCAGCTTGCCTGCTATGGAGCAGCTGAGACACCCTGGTAGGGGAGTTCATAGAATATCAGGGTTGGAAGGGACCTCAGGAGGTCATCTAGTCCAACCCCCTGCTCAAAGCAGGATCAACCCCAACTAAATCATCCCAGCCAGGGCTTTGTCAAGCCTGACCTTAAAAACCTCCAAGGAAGGAGATTCCACCGCCTCCCTAGGTAACCCATTCCAGTGCTTCACCACCCTCCTAGTGAAAAAGTTTTTCCTAATATCCAACCTAAACCTCCCCCACTGCAACTTGAGACCATTACTCCTTGTTCTGTCATCTGCTACCACTGAGAACCATCTAGCTCCATCCTCTTTGGAACCCCCTTTCAGGTAGTTGAAAGCAGCTATCGAATCCCCCCTCATTCTTCTCTTCTGCAGACTAAACAATCCCAGTTCCCTCAGTCTCTCCTCATAAGTCATGTGCTCCAGCCCCCTAATCATTTTTGTTGCCCTCCGCTGGACTCTTTCCAATTTTTCCACATCCTTCTTGTAGTGTGGGGCCCAAAACTGGACACAGTACTCCAGATGAGGCCTCACCAATGTCGAATAGAGGGGAATTATCATGTCCCTCGATCTGCTGGCAATGCCCCATCTTATACAGCCCCAAATGCCGTTTGCTTCCTTGGAGTGATCCTCTTGTCTTGCTTTGACAGATTGAGGGAGGAGACAATTTGTTATAATCCCTCTATCATGTTTAATTTGTGAGTGAATTCAGTGCCCCTTAAACTAAGGGGGATGATCAGAAGAATGCAGCCTCGTATTCTGTACAAGCTGCATCCCAGAAGGCTTGGCAGAGTTCGATCCAAGACCATGGATGACACGTGGTCTATGAGAAACATGTTTTTGGTCTCGCATTCCTCAGGGTCGTTTGCAGCTCCTTCACCAATTGCCCCCGCTTTGTCCTAAACTCTTCATACAAAATCTAAAACACTGTCACGTGCTTTGAGGTCACAAATATGGCAGGGCTAATCTGCATAGCTCTTGATAGACAAAAGACCATGTCCTTTCTCCAAAGAGCATGCGGCCTCAGCTGGGACCAAACGTGCTAAGAGATGGGGATAAGCACTGGGGGGAGGGGCTACAGCAATCAGACCGTACCACTGTTCAGATCAGGGATGCTTCATCATTTCTGATGATGCTGTTGCTAAGTGGCAAGACTAGGCCTTGGAACAGGTCAAGAACGGGGCGTAAACTCTGGCCAGTCAAGTGTAAAAGTATAATGAGGCCGGCCAAAAAAAGAATTTGAAGAGCAACTAGCCAGAGACCCAAAAACTAACAGCAAAATTTTGTAAGTATATCGGAAGCGGGAAGCCTGCTAAACAATCAGTGAGGCCACAGGAGAGTAGAGATGCTAACGGTGGACTCAAGGAAGACAAGGCCATTGCAAAGAAACTAAGCGAATTATTTGCATCAGTCTTCACTGCAGAGGATGTGAGGGAGGTTCCCACACCCGAGCCATTCTTTTTAGGTAACAGATCTGAGGAAGTGTCAATAGAGGAAGTTTTGGAACAAATAGTAAGTCACCAGGACCAGATGGTATCACCCAAGAGTTCTGAAGGAACTCAAATATGAAATTGCAGAACTACTAACTGCGGTATGTAACCCATCATTTAAATCAGCTTTTGTACCAGATGACTGGAGGATAGCTAATGTGGCGCCAATTTTTAAAAAAGGCTCCAGAGGTGATCCTGGCTATTACAGCCTAACTTCAGCACCAGGGTAATTGGTTGAAACTAAGAACAGAATAATCAGAAATATAGATGAACATGATTTGTTGGGGGAAGTGTCAACACGGGTTTTATAAAGTTAAATTATGTCTCACCAATCTAGTAGAATTCTTTGTGGGGGTCAACAAACATATGGGCATGGATAATTCAATGGGTGTAGTGTACTTAGACTTTCAGAAAGCCTTTGACAAGCTTTTTAGCAAAGTAAGCAGTCATGGGAGAAGAGAGAAGGATCTCTCATGGATCAGTAACTGGTAAAAGATCGGAAACGAAGGGTAGGAATAAATGGTCAGTTTTCAGAATGGAGAGGGGTAAATAGTGGTGTCCCCCAGGGGTCAGTACTGGGACCAGTCCTATTCAACATATTCATAAATGGTCTGGAAAAAGGGGTAAACAGTGAGGTGGCAAAATTTGCAGATGATACAAAATTACTCAAGTTAATTACATTCAAAGCAGACTGCAAAGAGTGAAAGGGATCTCACAAAACAGGGTGACTGGGCAACAAAATGGCAGATGAAATTCAGTTTGAAAAATGCAAAGTAATGCACATTGGAAAACATAATCGCAACTATACATATATACAATGATGGGGTCTAAATTAGTTTTTACCACTCAACAAAGGGATCTTGGAGTTCTCTGAAACATCCACTCCCAGTCGCTATTCAAGCCCAAATTAATGGTATCTAGTTTGAATATTCAAAAACCAGTAGGAGAACACTTCAGCCTCTCTGGTCACTCAGTAACAGACTTAAAGGTGGCAATTTTGCAACAGAAAAGCTTCAAAAACAGACTCCAACGAGAAACTGCTGAACTTGAATTAATATGCAAACTAGATACCATTAATTTGGGCTTGAACAGAGACTGGGAGTGGCTGGGTCATTACACAAATTGAATCTATTTCCCCATGTTAAGTATCTTCACACCTTCTTGTCCACTGTCTGAAATGGGCCATCTTGATTATCACAACAAAAGGGTTTTTTTCTCCTGCTGATAATAGCTCGTTTTAATTAATTAGCTTCTTTGAGTTGGTATGGTAACTTCCATCTTTTCGTGTTCTCTGTATGTATATATGTCTTCTTGCTATATTTTCCATTCTATGCATCTGATGAATTGGGCTGTAGTCCACGAAAGCTTATGCTCAAATAAATTTGTTAGTCTCTAAGGTGCCACAAGTACTCCTGTTCTTTTCACTAGTCTCTCTCTGACTTGACTTGTGTGTGGTGTCTATTTCCAGTTCATCAGCCTGCACGAGAATGGCCAGCCAAGCGCAGATGGTGTAGGTGATCAAGCCATAGCAGAGCTGTGGCTACAGCACAGTCTGCAGTTCCACTGCCTCTCCGCACAGCTGAAGCCGCTGCTTGAGAACAGACAGTACATCAGGAAATTCTACTCAGGTAAACAGCACCGTGGAGACAATCTCCTTCCCCCGTGAGAATATCTAGGCATGCCCTTCTCTCCAGCCACGTGAGAGCTTTGGTAGCACATAGAATGCTGGGATGGGGGAGGGTAGGAAATTCTGTAGCCCAGAGATTGCCAGGGTCTGGGGGATTCCATAACGTGTAATGTGGCTGGGGTGGGGGTGGGGAATTAGGATTCCTTATAGCACTGCTAGGGATCAGTCCAATGGTCCTTGCAGTCTAGGAGCCTGTTTCTGGCAATGTCCAATGCCAGGTACGACCTGTAAGCAGGTGGGGGCAGCAGAGATACATGGTCTGGTTTTGTTCCTGAGACACCCTGTGTCTGTCTAGGTTGAAATTAGAGCTGGCTGGGAAGTATTTGATGGAAAGCTTTTGTGTTGGAAAATACCGATTCATCAGAACCAAAACTCTTCACGGGAAAGGGTCAGTTTCGATGAATTGCCCATTTTGAGCATCGTTTGCAAAAGAGTGTCAGAATTGTCAGGTAGCCGTGTTAGTCTGTATCACCAAAAACAACCAGGAGTCCTTATGGCACCTTAGGGACTAACACATTTATTTGGGCATAAGCTTTCGTGGGCTAGAACCCATTTTGACATTTTTCTAAACAAGAAATTTCATTTTTTGGCTCAAAATGACTTCTTTAGAATTTTGTTATGGGGGGGGGGGTGTCTGTGAGAGAGAAGTAAAATAAAGGTAGAAAATGGAACGTTTTGACCTGATCCAATTTTTTTTTCCAGATTTTTGGTTTGCAAAAATTGGAGACTTTGACTTTTCCTCCCAATTCGAGAGGGGAAAATGGTTTTAAATGATAAATTCTGGCAGGACAGGAAAACTGTTTCCCACCAGCTCTAATTCAAACAAAGGAACCAAAAGGCTTTGGGATAACAGCAGCATCAAACAGGAATATCCCAGCTCAGGATTGGCCACTGGGTCTGGAGCGCTGCCTTGTCCAGGGACTCTGACCCTGAGCCCTGGGTACCAGCTTAGGGCCTGTTCCAATGCCCACTGAAGTCACTGGCACCTTTCCAATGGATATCAGTGGGCTTTGTGTCTGCCACTGGCCCTTTTTCCATGGACTTCAGCTGGCTTTGTATCCAGCTTACCCAATTTCCCAGGTACTCTCTGAGAACCTGATTGGCCCGGCAATACCCAGCCCTGGTTACTTCTTGTACAGCCATGTGAGAAAACCCCTTGACTGTTGCCTAGGACAGCTGTTGCCATGGGGCGGTCGTGTCTTTCTTCCTGATCCCATATGATCATGCCCGATGATTGTCATCTTATCCTAGCTAGCATGGCAGCAGAGAGGCTGTTCTGCAGTTGTTTGTCTGGTGCAAAGGAGCTGGCCAAGGCTCTGGCTCAGGGAGGGACCGGGAGGTTGTCTCCAGTGTCACGTAATAAATAATTGCACAGTCCCCTTTGCATCACACCACAAATCCCTGTCTGCCGAGGGCAGCAGTGGGGTACCATGGTTCTCACCAGCGTGACCAACCTTCAGCTGTTTGCTTCCAGACGCTGCCTTCCTGCTCAGTGATGCCCATGTGACAGCCATGTTACAGTGCCTGGAGGCTGTGGAGCAGAACAACCCCAGACTTCTGGCTCAGATTGACACGTCCATGGTGAGAAGGGCCCCTGCTTTATCTCCATCTCTCCTTGCTGAGCAGTGATTCCCTCGCACAGTGTCTCATGCAGAGAGCACGCAGCCTCTTGGAGAAGGTTTTTACTCCTTGGCTGGGTTCCTCGCAGAAGGGGCTAGAAGAGAGATGGGAAACAGCTGATTAGGAGCTGGCTTCTCTGCCAGTGATGCCTGTGCAGTGGGCATGGGGGTGCCTTTGTTTAATCAAGTTGGACATTCAGGGCTCGCATTGGGTCACGTCCTGTTTTGATTGGCTTCCAAGATCCACATTTTAGAGGGGGGTGGTAGGAACCAGTCATTCCTCTGAAAATATCCTCGAAGTTCTAGGTGTGTGGGTTTCCTAGGAATTACAGGTGGAATGTGATGTGTGTTACCCATTCATATCTTGGCATAGTAACAGGAACCAGGACTGCCGCTGGGAGGACACTGATGTACTGGTGTATACAGCCTGTTGGGGAGAGGGTGGGCTCAGGGCCCAGGAGAGCTGGGTTTTATTTGTGCTTCTGCTGCCACTGACTTCCTTTATGGCCTTGTTCTGGTCACTTCACCCCTTTGCTAGTTTCCCTGTCTGTACAGCAGGGTGAACAGTGCCTCCCCCTCCCACCCCACCTCGTTCTCTGCAAAGAGCTTTGAGGTCTCCAGATGAGAAGCCCTGGTGACTGTTCATTAAATTGTGGCTGTGTCCTCTCCACTGGATGGCGCAGCAGGATTGATGGCCGTGTGTGCGTCAGGTCCCTCCGCTGGCCCTGGATCATCACACTGAGAGCCTGGTAGTTTCCACATGAGAGCCTGCTGCTTAACTGAGAACAATGGGCTGGTTCCCTTTTTTACTATGGCTTTTTCACCCTCTAGTAGAGAGCTGGCAGCATCCCACCTGACACCAGAGCTGCAGCTGTCCTCGCCGGTTAGTAACAGGCACTCACGCTGGGCACTGCTCGTTGATTCCTCTTTGACTCAACAGTTGCTGCTTTCAGGGCTCTGTGTCCGCTTCCCTTTGTTGCTTAACACTGGAGCGCTGGTTTATTAACAGTGCTGCATCTGTTCAGTTTCTCAGAAGGAGTGAGGCCCCATTGCCTGTGACGAAGAGTCAAAGCCTGACGGCCCTCCCTGGTTCTGTATATATCCCTCCTATGGACTATACACACCACAGGTACTTCGGATCCTTCTCCAGTCTGCACCAACCAGCCTCCACCAGCATGTCAGGTAACAGGAGTGGGGGTTGTGTGTTCCGGCTGCACGTGGGATGCTCAGAATGCGACCCACTCTCTTTCATACAGGGTCTGTTTGCAGAGTGCATAGTGCAGGGTAGCTCTTTTCTCAAAAGTCAGGCCCTGCAGTCCTGCAACAACATGCGCGTGTCGCTCAGGCTTCCTGAGCCACCCTACTGCAAGCTCCTGTAGCCTTTATTGGTTATGGGAGTGACTAATATTGATAACCCCTTTTCAACTCTAGTGTTAGACAAAAGTCGGAGCTCTAGGGCTCCTCCAGTATTTAAAACATTAGGGCTAACACCACCAGGTGGCCTAGCATCATTGTTGGAGATCTGAGGCGCATGGAGGAAACAAGCATCTCATTTAATCAGATCAGATAGAACACCCCAATTAACATAACTCTGCATAGATTGCAATGGTCAGAGAAAACCACGGCCAGCCCCAACGTTCCCAATAACACCTGCATCTCCCGCTGGAAGCCTGAAGAATGGTGGAGTGGCCGGCTCCTATGGAGGGTCAGGAAACTGACCTCCAGCCATCTGCCAGCTTGTATTGAGAAGTTATGCATATGCCCACCAAAGCTCATTAATATGCATGAGAGTTAAACCCCCTTATGTCCATCTTTGGGACTGTCACCCTGTAATATCAGGGGACTTGTCACGTGACAGGCTACTTCAGTGGCTCTCAAACTTTTTACTGGTGACCCCTTTCACATAGCAAGTCTCTGAGTGCGACCCCCCCCACTTATAAATTAAAAACACTTTTTTATATATTTAACGCCATTATAAATGCTGGAGGCAAAGCGGGGCTTGGGGTGGAGGTTGACAGCTCGCGACCCCCCCCATGTAAGAACCTCATGACCCCCGAGGGGTCCCGACCCCCAGTTTGAAAACCCCTGGGCTACTTGGATAGTTCCTCTTTCAACTTACTAACATTTATGTCCTCTTATCACTGTGGTAACATGCAGTTATCTTAAGGAAATCTCTAACAGTTCACCCTGGCTACCAATGGTCATGTTGTGGTGTCTACTGATCTCTTCTAGATACAATTATCCAAACTCAGCACTTATTATTCAAAACCTCAGCATACAAACATAGACACAAGCTCAGCAGATTTATTAACTTACTTATGCTAATGTATCTTTATAACATGGCTAACTTATCCTAAAGCCTAATTTGGCTACGCTAAATATCTGACAGGCCTAAGTCCATAGGTTTCTTACATTTCAGCTTTAAATCTTAAGCTGTGTTTTGTTGTTGTTGTTTGTTGTGTTGTTTTGTTTTTTTAACCTGTTACCTATCAGGTATTAGTCTCTTATATTTTAGTATTTTAATAGATTAATTTATTAATTACAAGTTATGCTACTGTGGCCACGCAGGGCCCTGCCTGCCCGAGCAATTGCCGATAACACGCCAGGACTTCCCAAACTACCGCACAATAAAAGTAGGTTTTGTGCCTGGCCTTCCTGCACCACCCGACAACAGCAAACCAGTGTTCCTGTGTGTCCCAGCCTTCCTGAGCAACCCTGCAATAACACCCCAGTGTGGTGGATGGAAATTAAGCTTCAGTGAGGACATGGGCCTTGGTTTTCAGCTTCCAACACATGCCTGGGAGACCAAGGGGAGTGATAGGGAGGAAGGGATTTTTAATAAAAACAGCGATTCCTTGACTGTGTCCTCGTGCGCTGGGTTTGTTGGTGTGTTGAACCATGTGCTTGTTGCCCTCGTCTGCGCTGTTGTGCACTCGTGTGTGACCTCTCCCTCCTGCCTCTGTCCAGACAGGAGACCAGCAAGCTCCTCCGTGTGCAGCAGCACGAGCCAGCCTCTGGAAAATGCCCTGTACAACGTACCCCTCTTGCTGCCTGAGGACAGATCCCCTCTGGGCCAACCTGGCCTCCCGCGGCTCAGTGTTACCTCCCCCAGAGACTCCTTCTCTTCAGTCAGCGAGATGAGCACCAGCACCGTGACCAGCCAGAGCGAGGACCTCTGGGCGGGTAGCCAGGATGACACCCAGAGCGACGCCAATGACGGGCCGGAGTATCTGGCCATTGGGAACCTGGGGCGGCGCGGCCGGGCCTGTAGCAGCCAGAGCAGCGCCAGCAGTAGCACCACCAACAGCAACAAGAGCAGCAGTTCCAACCTGTTCTCATCCAGCAGCTCCCAGAAGCCGGAGTCCATCTCCTCCTTGGAGGACCAGGGTGCGAGCGGCGGGAGCAGGGGGATGAGCCTCTTGCGCAGGTCCAGCTTTTCGGAGGGGCAGGCATCAACCCCCCAAGGGATCCTCAAGAGAAGCCATGCACGCTCGCACTCCGATACCAACGTGGCCTCTGGGAAAACTCCCGGTAATGGCGGGGCGGCATTTGGGGAGGGATTCGGTGGGTGGGACGTTGATCTCGGGGCGAGAGTTCAGTGGGCATCACCATCACTGTTGTACATCGTTAGGGGGTGATATGAGCACTGGGCAAGGAGGAAGGGAACGAGCTAATTAAAGGCCTTGCAATGTTCTCTTCCAGTGGGGCCTGGGGACCTGAAGTTAGCTGCTGGCCTGGCCTTGGGCAATGCCTGGAATAGGCAAGGAGTGATTGCACATGCAGCTAGCTGGGGAAGTCCGGCCTTTGCCTTTTTGCTTATCCATTGCACAGAGAGCTCTCTGCATTCCCAGAGATGGAGAGGGAAGCATCCTACCTCCCCCAGCAGAGCTCTGGGACCCAGCCCTGAACACCCAGCAGCCCCTGCCTTGGTGTCTAGCCTCACTTCCCTTGGTCAGCTGGCGGAAGGTGTTGGCTTACTCCTCTCTCCCTGCCTCGCTAAGGGCTTAGGAACTGGCAGCGCTGCTATGGTGCTAGCCTCGCCGCCCCCAGAGGGACTCCCTGAACCGTCTCTCTCCAGGGTCTCATCTGAACTGCAGATATGGCCCTGGCTGGGACCGGGTCCCAGAATGCAGGGATAGTCCTGTGTTGTAACTGTAGAGCCCTCGTCTGATTCGATTGGTAGAATAGACTGGGTGTGTGCGTTCCCTTAACAGCTCCCCGTTGTGGGAGTGAGTACTGGGCCTTTTGGGGCCTCTTCGGGTGGGTACTGGGGGGCCAGGCTGGTTCCCAAGGGGATGCCCCTTCAGGGCTCAGGTACTGCCTTCAGGTAGGAAATGGGGCTCCTGTCTCGGTGAGTAACCAGTCTCTCTCTGTTTTCTCTTCCTTCCGTAATGCTCTCCTCTTCCTCCTCGCTGTCTGCCTAGGAGGCCTCAGGGATATCACCATTATAATAGAAGATCCAGTGGCAGGTTTGGGAGCCAGTAGACACCCCCTCATCAGTGATCATTGCATTGAGTTCAGGATTTCCATTATCACATTGGTGTCAACTTAGAAAGGCCGCTCTTTCCCCGAGTCGCCGATGGCGCTTTGAGGGAGCCCCAGGTTTATGCATGTGACCTAAATGAGGATCCCTGCTTGGTTTGGGGCCATAACATGCTGGACCAGGAATTGCTCCTGGCTTCCCTGCATGGCACTATGTGGCGTTTTCTGATAAGTCCCTGGATTGGCTCCCATCCTCTCCCCTTTGCTTTGGAAACCAGGCTAGCTTGTACCCCTTGTGCGGGGCTAAGGGATAGGGAGGGATGGCCCATACTTCTGAATAGTCAGCAATTCTCCCCCTTTTGCCCGGTGGGAGGATATCGGATTAGCAGAGCTGGGAGCAGCATTTCCTGGGCACGTGGTGCTCTCAGTACCAAGCACTCTGCCCACAGCTGTGGTGTAGTGCTCAGATCAGACTCCTGGGTTCTCGTCTGGGCTCGGATTTGCTGTATGAACCAGGGAAAGTTGTTTTACGACCCGACTTACACAGAGTTGCAGGTGCTCAGTATCTCAGCAAACCAGGCCATTCACCTGTACGCTTCGGGTCGCCTTCCCCTCTATAAAATGGGGCTAATTCCTTCTGGGACATAGGAAGGCTTGAACTGTTAATGTTTACAAAGCCCGGTGAGTTCCTTGGCTGGAAATACTGAGGATATTATCCGAGCAGTCCGCAGAGGTGTCCCAGGTGGGGCGTACTGGCCGATGCACCCAGCCGTGCCAGCTGTTCGTACAGAATCTCCGCAAGATTCTGTCCCCTCCCAACCTCGCTTGCTGCAGCACTTGCTCTCCATGGAGCTGGCAGGTTACGATGCCTGGCTTCTGTGGGCTCTCAGAAAACCTGCCTCAGCGTGCTGTGTAGTGGTGCTGCTGCTGCTCGGGGAACTGGCAGCTCCCCTAGGGTTTGGAGATCAGTTCTATGCACTGGGCCAGGCAGTGGCCCTGGGGCTGTTTCTGTGCCAGTTTTTGGTGGCTCTTTGCTCTGTGGCAGATGAGTTCCTGGAAGCTTGTGCTTGAGCAGGGCTGGTCTGCGGAGTTCTGGGGATTTGTAATGAGATACGGAGTGTCTGCCCCTAGAGCACTGGTTCAAACCCCATCCAGGTCAGGTGTGGTCACCTGGAAGCTGTTTTGTGGTCTCATCTGGTAGCTACCTCCCAGCTGGCACTGGAGACTGAGCACCCTCCCACCTGGGGTTAAAGCATGCTTGCCGGGCAGCTTCAGCAGCTGCTTGTGCTTTGCCTAGAGCCGGTCAGTCCCCAGGCCTGTGGGTCTGATCCTTGCACCGGCACGACACTCGTTCAGTAGGAGAGGCGTTCTCACTCTCACGTGCCCTGGGCCCTGGAGCCATAAGCGTGGGACTGGGGGAGTGGTACAGCGAGGCAGTGCGAGCTGCTGTGCCGGTTGAGTTGACACCAGTGGTCCCTTCCCTGTTCCCAGTGCCTGGAGCTATTGCATGTTCCACCTCACACGTGTCCAGTCCCATTGCTCTCCCCATTCCTTTGTGTGTGTTCAGTCGTCATTTTCATGCCAGCGGCAGCCAAGGGCTTCCCTTCTGGGATCAGTCAGTCCTCAAGTCATTTGGTCTCTGCCGCAGCCCATCCGATCCCAGGGGCTGGCTCACGGGACTGCAGCCTCCCGCAGGTGTTCACCTCTGATTAGGCTGGCTAGAGGCAGTCCCTCAAAGAGCTCTGCCCGTGTGAGGACGTGAATTGCCTCACATGTGCATGCGGAAGGTGGGGCGCCGGGCGCAGCATGTATAGGTCACCTTCACAACCCTTCCGGGCTCTGCTGGCTGCAGGGCCCGGAGTCCTTAGGCCCTGGCTGCTGCAAAGTCAGGGACTCCAATGTGCATGGAAGGCTCCATTCTCCCCAGCTATAATCAGAGGCTAGAGGGAGTTGGAGATCACCTCCTTCCGCTGATTCCCCCCACATTGTCCTAGGCATCCTCCAGGACTACTGAGTCCCCGGGATCCCATTGCTCTTACCCTAGCCACTCGCCCTGTGGCCCAGCAGGACCATCTGGGGGTTCCTCTCTGTCAGAGGGGGCGCTGCTGAAGGCTAGGGGGTGCAGTGTGCTCCCCGACTCTGGGTTGAGTGCTCCAAACAGGCTCTGTTGTATTTCCCAGCCCTGCCACCAGAGGAGCGAGCAGGGCCTCCTTCCTAGTTCTGCCCCTGTCCCCTGCTGCATTAGCTGGAGGAACAAATGACTTCTGCACTTCCCCGGCTCTTGCACGCTGTCCCGTTGTCCCTCTCCTCCTGAGCGCAACGGGGCCGCAGGAGCTGCCGATCCAACGGAGGAGCAGCTCTTGGAGATGAATCCTGGCAAGCTGTTAATTGCTGCCTGTTGTCTGCCACCTTGCCTTTTAGCTGCCTGAAGTGCCTCGCCCCGGGACTGCCCCCTCCTGGAACTGGCCTGGATACAGTATAGCTCTCTGCCCCCTTTCTCCCTAGGGATCAGCTGGCTTCTCTTCTCCCCCCTTTGATTCCTTTTCTATTTTTTTTTTTGGGTGGGGGATGTTCTTGTGATGTCCCGTTTGCTCCCTTCCACTGGGTCCTGAGGGGCTGGGGTTAATCACCTGGATGGGCCCTTCTGCTATTGACGAGTGTCCTTGCTCTTGTCTCTCTCAAAGAATCCCAGAGTGACGCCTCGAGGGTGCCGAGTCATGTGTCCGGCTCCACCCAGAGCAGCGAAGTGAGCACGCCCAGCTCCCTCTACATGGAGTACGGTGAGTTGAGCAGGGGGTGAGTGGAAAGGGTTAACCACTGCTACGGCTGGGTTCGGGGGCTGGGTCCTCGCATGTTTGCGGGGCAGCTTTTGACTGTGCACATGTGTGGATTTGCTCGTGAGCATGGTGTCTCGTGTGTGTGTGTGAGGCCAGTGCTCTGAAATCTCTGCCTCTCTCTAAATCTAAGAGCAGCTGTGAGGGGCTGGGGAGCAGAGCTGAGTGGCCGAAGTTAAGCAGCTGTGATCTCTCCCCAGTAGGGATCAGATTAGACTGTCCCTCTGCAACCTGCCTACTGTGGGGATCTTGCCCCTTCCTCTGGTGGTCACTGTCAGAGGCTGGATGCTCGACTGGCTCCAGCCATGCGTCATCTAGTCTGGCAGTTCCTGTGTTAAGGCCAGCATGGTGCCGCATGTCCCCGGGCCGGCTGGGGCCGTGTAATGGAATCGTGCCTGGTCTGATCTCTGACTCTTTAGTGTTGTGGGTTTGCAAAATGCCTCTGCCTCATTTGCTTGTCTTTTGCTTTCCTAGATGCTGGCCAGTACCTGAGTTCGGGGGAAGGGATGTTCCGAAGACCCTCGGAAGGACAGTCCCTGATCAGTTACCTGTCTGAGCAGGACTTCGGCAGCTGTGCAGACCTGGAGAAGGTGAGAGAGAGCCGGGGAGTGATGCAGGGGTTCCTTGGTTGCTGGGTCAGTGACTCTGGTTCCACCGGCAAGCAGCCCTACCGAAAAGCCAGTGTTAGTGCCGCAGTGTTTCCAGGCTTAGAGCTGCGCAGAGAACTTGCCGGTCTCCTTTCACACTTCCGTTTGCCCTTTGGTGTTGATAGCTCGGGGCTGCGAGCACGGCTCCCTGCACTGCGTGCTGCTGTCTTCCCTGAAGTCAATCCGCTGTTTGCTCCAGCCTTAGGCAGTCGGGAAGTGGGGGGGGGAGGGTTTCAGGTATAAGGATCACAGAGCATTTCACCCCCCCCGAGTGCAGGTCAGGAACAGTGATGCTCCTCTCTATAAGCCCCATACTGTTCCCTGGCTGATGTGATCCTGTGCTGTTCAACTGTGCAGAGCCGCAACCTGCAACTCGTGTTGAGTTGGGAAAAACCAAAGCCAGCTGCTCTCTTTGGGTGCTGGGTGCCGTGTGACCCACGGGCGGTGGAACATTGGAGAGTGAGGCTGTCACAGTGGCAGGGCTAGCGGCACCTCTGTCCCCTTTCTCGTCTCTGAGTGCACCCAGTTCCGGTCCTGGGCCTCTAACCCTCCCCTGTCCCAGGAAGGAATCCCCCTCTGAGACTGGGACACGCTCGTGGTACCCTGCATACACCAGCTGCCCTGAAGGCCCAGCTGGGTTTCAGGCTCTTGTCTTTCTTTGCGTTGGGCACCTGTGACCATGAGAGTGACCCCAGCCTCCTTCAGACCAAGTGTTTTTCCTTAGCAGTTGGAATACAACATGAGAGAGAAGGATTTAAAAATACCCAACACACATCTGTCACCCCTAATGTGCTACCATCCTGTAATGGTGACCCAGACCTAGATTCTTCAGACACCCCACCAGCTTCGTGTGTCTCGGTCTGGATTGTCCCTTTGCCCCCGAAAGAGTCCTTTCAAAGCCAGCTGGGACTCTTTGTTCTCCACTAGGCTTCTCTCTGCGTTGGCGGGCTTGGGCCCCCAGTCAAACTACTCCCATGGGCTATGGGGATCGAGCCCGAGTTGTCAGAACAAATAGTTCTGGTGTCATCCCTCGAGAACTCTGAAGTGGGGTCTGATAGGTGATCATCTTGAGGTGTCTCCTTCCTGTCTGGATCCAGCTGGTCTCCTAGCACAGTGGTTCTCAAACTTATTTGATCGTGCCCCCCCCCCCCCTTCTTTGTGGCTGTAATAGTTTACACCCCGATTCATTGCAAAAGCAAAACTGCGATTGTGGCCGACGCTCACAGTGAAATGTGCGCACCGCGTCATGACGTACCGTCGGCCACGACATGTAGAATGCTCGGCAGGCGTACCCGAAATCCGTCACAATGCAGAGCGCCCTCTAGAGTCAAATGCGCGGCACCATCTGAGGACCTGAGATATCTGGAGGAATCAGCTTTGCTAGTTATTCATTGCTGTGGGTAAAATGTGCGGAGCAAGGGGGTTTTTTTTTGGTCCCCTAAAGCTTCTCACGCTCTCCCAAAATACATTCTGTGCCCGCAGAGGGGGGGGCCCACCCACTAGTTTGAGAACCTCTATCCTAGTAAGAAGCACTCAGAAAACACCAGGCTAACATAGAGTATTACTACAGGGCACTCCATGTGCACATAAAGGGCTATGGCCTGACTGGAGGGGTTGGATTCCTTGGCTTCATTAGGAAGTAAAGTCAGAGGTGCCAACTTTCCAATGTGCTTGGGGGCTGCTCAACCCCTGGCTCTGCTAATTGGCAGGGCCCGCTGGGGGTGGGGGCTGCCAGTGGGTGCTCAGCACCCACGTTTTTTTCCCTGTGGGTGCTCCAGCCCCGGAGCACCCACGGAGTCAGCACCTATTAGTGAAGTCTTCCTCTACTGTGGGAAATCCCAGATAGCCGCCTCTACACGTAGCAGGTTCTCTACTGCGGGGTGTAGGGGATGTAATGCTGCATTACGGAGAACCTTAACTTCCCGGCTCTCTTGCAATGGTTTGGCTTCTGCCTCCCAGGAAAATGCTCACTTCAGCATCTCTGAGTCGCTGATCGCCGCCATCGAGCTGATGAAATGCAACGTGATGAACCGGCGGCTGGAGGAGGAGGAAGAGGAGAGTGACAAGGAGATCCAGGAGCTCAAGCAGAAGATTCGCATCCGGCGCCAGCAGATCCGCACCAAACACGTGCTCCCTGCCTACCGGGAAGTGGGCTCCGACAGTGAGTGCTGCTTTCGGGGCCAGGCTGGGGAGAGCAGGGGCTCGTTTCCTGTCAGTCCCTGAGATGCTGTGTCAGGCACCAGGGCGCTGCGGGAATTCACCTTACACTAGCTCTGAATTGATGGTGACTCTAATGTGGAGGGCCTGCTGTCACTGGGTCTGTCTGGGTATTTATCATGTACACACCATGGTGGTGTCAAAGTGCAGGACGATTCTGGGTCCACGCTGGCACCCCAGTCACCCAGCACTACCCGCCCTGGCCAACTCCTCTGTCAGTTCTCAGTGTCGCACTTAAATTACCTCTGCTGACTTTGGGGCTACGTCTCTCAGACCTTCTGCATTTTGTCCCTCCAGGCTTCGTGGCTACAGACAGTGAGTCCCAGTTCAGCTCCCGTGACTCCATGTGGCTGTCTGACTCGGGCTCAGCAGAGGACGTGGAGGAATACGAGATAAGAGGTAAGATGTGGCAGCTGCACCAGATGGAGATTTGGGGCCAACCTCCTCCTTGGGGCTACACCGAGGAGGAGCACGTCCCTTTGCATTTAGAGATGGCCATTCTAGAGTAACGCTGAACTGTGAGTTGAGCTGGGACCCCTGATTCCACCCCTGGACTGCGGTAAACGGGTTCCCTTTGGATAGGTGGGCTTGTGCGCACATAAAGGCTGAATGATTTGCCTCTGAGAGCTCTATTAGGGTCTTAACAGCCCCTTCATTTGCTGTGTTGCTGGCTTCCTACAAGAGATCCCTTTCACGTGTAAAGTCCTCCGGGCTGGGAATGGTCAGGCTGAGGTTGGGGAGCTAAAGGATTTGAATGCCAACCTGCGCTGTCCTGCTCTTCCCACTTGAACCAGCCACGGACTGGACAAATCAGTCTCGGGACTGTCCGCTCCCATTGTTAAACCCTGTCTTTCTGTAGCAGGGGCAATGGCTGTGTACAGACCCTGACCTCCAAGGTACTTCGCTCACACAGAGTCAGGCTGGCTCCCATGGGCTAGAGTGCTCCCCGCAGGACACAGGCGCCGACTTCCCCTCTAGCTGGGGGGCGCTCACCCTCCCCGTCGTCCCCGCCCCCACTCCTCCCCTTCCCCCAAGTCCCCGCCCCTGCTCTGCCCCGTCCCGCCTCTTCCCTGCCTCCTCCCCCAAGTGCGCCCCGTCCCCGCTCCTCACCCTCCCTCCCGGAGATTCCTACACGCCGCAAAACAGGTGTTCGCAGCAGGCAGGAGGTGCTGGGAAGGAGGGGGAGGAGTTGTTCAGTGGGGCTGCCAGCAGGGGAGAGGCACTGGGGGGAGAGGGGGAGCTTGGCTGCTGCTGGGTGCTGCTGAGCAGCACCTGCTAATTTTTCTCTCCGGGGGTACTCCATGGCTGGAGCACCCACAGTCAGCGCCTGTGCTGCAGGAGACCTGGCCTTGAGCCCTCTCCCTCACCTCCCTCCTGCATTGGTCAGGATAGACCCTTCTCGTTGCTCAGCAGTGCCCCCTCTGGCTGACTTGAAAGGTGCGTTAACCAAGCACTCTCCAGTCTTCAGCTGGGACAATGGTGGTTGGACTGGGGGCGGTTCAAAGGCCCCTGTGATGGACACCCTCAATCTTCCTGATCCTCTCTCCATGGATGTTGATAGCATAACCCCGGTTTGGCCCCCTGTAGCTCAGAGGTTTGACTTGATAGTGCAGTCCAAGGAGGGTGTTTGAATGCTGTCCCTGGATGTCTCCCAAAGGGCACCAGCAGGCCCTGCTCTCTTGCCTCTGTGTTGATACCCTTTCTCTGTGGCCGGGCCGAGCACTGAAGCGAAATGTTTTGTCATCACCGTATTATGCAGATGGTAACGATGGATCTAACCTGATTCAAATGTCCAAGAACGGCCTGTCAGTGTCAATGGCTTCCTTGTTTTCAGGTAGTACCCCAGAGTGCACTGCGCCGCGCGTGTGTGTGTGTGTGTGTGTGTGTGCGCTTGTCCGTGTGCGTCGCCTGGGCGTGTCAAGGGCCCACAGGGAGAGCCGAGGCTCAAAAGCTGCTGCTAAAACTCAGTTCACGCTGCATCAGCAGGCAGGCTTCAGACCAGACACCAAACCACCAGCCCCCAGCTTAATCCACCAGCTACTACCCTTTAGCTGTTTCCCCTCCCAGGGCTCTGTGCATGTAGCTGGCTCCTTGTGAGCTGCTCTCTAGAATTCCTCAGCTCGTCCTTCATGCAGGGGCCTTTGGGAACAACCAATAATGTCGTCTGAGTGGCAAAGGGAAAGGAGCTGGCGACGCATGCACTGGATGGCAGATAGGTGGGAAAATATAGCGAAGGTCTCAGTTGCTTGGCTGCTTGCCCAGGCTCTGTGTTGCCACATTACGGTGGAACATTGTGATGTGCCTAGAACATCAACAGAGGTGCGTCTGGCCTGGCAAGTCAAACAGCAGAGCAGTGATTCCGTTTAAAAGTGCTGCAGCCATTAAAGGTAAAGTATTGACCACATAACTGCTGTAACCCAAGAGATGAGATTAGACCACTCTCCTGCGCTCTCTGCAGCTCCCAGCCCACTGCGATTCCAAGACAGACAATAGCTCCGTTGATCAGAGGTGTTAAAGGCTTCTCTAGGGACACAGGTGCTAAGGCATCAGAATCTTCGTGCGTAGGCTGTGAGAGGCAGAGAAAGCTGGGGCCTTGCTTTTAAAGGGATGGCACTGTCACGAGAGCTTTTCTCCGCCAATGCAGCACTAGTGAAAGGCTGATTCCCTCTGTAGCCTTGAATTGTGGTATGCAACCTATCATTTAAATCCGCTTCTGTACCAGTTGATTGGAGAAGAGCTAATGTGACGCCAATTTTTTTAAAAGGCTCCAGAGGCGATCCTGGCAATTACAGGCCGGTAAGCCTGACTTCAGTACTGGGCAAACTGGTTGAAACTATAGTAAAGAACAAAATTGTCAGACGCAGATGAACATGATTTGTTGGGGAAGAGTCAACATGGATTTTGTAAAGGGAAATCATGCCTCACCAATCTACCAGGATTCTTTGAAGGGGTCAACAAGCATGTGGATAAGGGGGATCCAGTGGATATAGTGTACTTAGATTTTCAGAAAGTCTTTGACAAGGTCCCTCACCAAAGGACTCTTAAGCAAAGGAAGCTGTCATGGGATAAGAGGGAAGGTCCTCTCATGGATTGGTAACTGGTTAAAAGATAGGAAACAAAGGGTAGGAATAAATGGTCAGTTTTCAGAATGGAGAGAGGTAAATAGTGGTGTCCCCCAGGGGTCTGTACTGGGCCCAGTCCTATTCAACATATTCATAAACAATCTGGAAAAAGGGGTAAACAGTGAGGTGGCAAAATTTGCAGATGATACAAAACTACTTAAGATAGTTAAGTTCCAGGCAGACTGCGAAGAGCTACAAAAGGATCTCTCAAAACTGGGTGACTGGGCAACAAAATGGCAGATGAAATTCAATGTTGATAAATGCAAAGTAATGCACATTGGAAAACATAATCCTAACTATACGTATAAAATGATGGGATCTAAATTAGCTGTTACCACTCAAGAAAGAGATCTTGGAGTCATTGTGGAGAGTTCTCTGAAAACATCCACTCAATGTGCAGCGGCAGTCAAAAAAGCGAACAGAATGTTGGGAATCATTAAGAAGGGGATAGATAATAAGATCGATGATACGCCCACATCCTGAATACTGCGTGCAGATGTGGTCACTCCATCTCAAAAAAGAGGCATTTTGGGTGGCTGTGCCCAAAGCATGTCACTTGAATTGGAAACACCTAGGTTGGAAGATACCATATTTGGAGTGGGGAGGGGGGCAGAGGGGTTCCTAGTTCTGACACCTCAGCCTGCTGGGGAGGTGGGGTTCAGATTTGAATCCTCCCGCGAGATGCCTGCTGAACACTGCTCACCCTGGCTGCATGTGCTGGCCCTGCTCCAGGTTGCTCACCCTACAATGCTCACACAATGCTGTACATGTGCGCCCTCTGTTTGCTTGGGTCTGTCTTAGCCTGGGATCTCTCAGAGCCATTCCATAAGGACCAAGAGAGGCTGGTTTCCTCTCCCATTCAGGCAGCAATTCTGCTGGGTGGGGAGGCCACTTCCTCTCTCTCTGTGTAGCTACAAAGCTTCGGTTGTTACCGGGTTGTAGATAACATGGGTTTCCTAGTCCTGAGTGCACCACCTGCTAGCAACAGGTATCAGACGGGTAACTTCCTGCTGCTAAAGGGTTATGGCTAATCCTCTATCCTGGACTCCCTGTTGACTCAAGTCTAGAAAGATACTTGAAGGAGACACTTAAGATTTAGCCCAGCGTTTAAGGCATGCACCCCTGTTTCTTAGGTTGTGAGTATTTGAGATCAGGGACTTTGTTGTCATACCTTCTGGCTATACAAACAGCTGTCCTGATCCTTTGGAAAGCCCCACGCCCTTTCCCTTCCCAAGGACTGTCCCATGGAGAATCCCACCTTCCCTGCTGAAAAGATCCCAGTGCTGGCTGGGCACTCTGGGTTTCCCTGCCAGTATGTGCTGCCCCTCTGCTGTGCCCCGCTGCTCCCTCCTTGGGAGCTGGGACTGAAACTGACAAGAGTCCTGCACCAATCAGCAAGCAACTCGTCTATTTCAGTACCCAGCCTACTTGGGGGAGAGGAGTTGAGAGCTGAACCAACAACTACACACCTATTAACCAGACCCAGCTGCCTTTCTAGGTCTCCTCTTACCTTCCTTGAGGGGGTCCCTATGGATTTTGAGGGTTGGCCTCTTTCCTGTCTTGATCTATCATATTTTCTCCCCTTTTCTCTAAGTTCCTTGGTGTTAAAACCCAAGTTTCCACCAATAGGGCAGTCCAAGCCTCCCTAGCCAAGCCCTGCCTCACACTGCTCGTGGGCTTGGCAGGACAGTACAGACAGGAGATGCACAAATCAACAGTGTTTTTAAGGCTGACTTGGGTTTCCAGGGATAATGGGACCAAATCCAGTCTGGATGTAAGCAGGATTATTCTCATGACTGGTGGGAATCGTACCCACTTACCTCAGGGCTGAATTTGATCCTCAGTGTCAAGATGTTTCACCAGCCCCCTTCTAGGGGCTGGAGTGCAAACCCCAGAGGAGTTCTGCTGCCGTCACTTCCCAGTACAGTGTAACCCCCAAAGCTGTGACATCGAGGAGCCTGAATTGCTGAGCGGCTGGGTCCAGTTGCCAGCGTCTAGTGGCCACGTTCCACCATGTTTAAACACTGTTGTATGGTGGCAGCAAAACCAGCTCTTACAATTCTTTGAGCGCATGAACTGAACCTTGACTAAAAGGGAACCCGTGAGCATAATTATTATGGGCTCTCAGCTAGTCTTTGACAAAGTCCCTCACTAGAGAAGGTCCGGGGATGAGCAGCGAAATGCTGCCATAGATCAGGACTGGCGTATGGACAGATAGCAAAAAGTAGGAATAAGTGGTCAATTGTTATGCTGGCCAAGGGTTAGCTGTGGTGTAGGCCAGCCCAGCTAAGGGTCCGTGTTCAGTAGTTATTAGAGATCTGCAAGGGGGCAGTGTGAGGAGTGTGGTAGCAACATGCACAGATGCTACACCTAGATTTAAGGTCCTCCCCTGTAGGGTGGAAAGTGATCCTTCTTTGTGGCCCGTTTGATCCTGGGTGCCTCAGCAGAGGGTGGCCAGCAAGGCTGCCGACCACTGCCACTTGCCGTGTGGCTTTTGTGACATTGACCTGTGGCCACTGGGAGATGAACTCAGGTCTCCAACTCCTGCCACTTGGGCTGCTGACAAGCCATCGGCGTATGAGCTGGGCTGGTTTGGAACCAGAATAGTAGCGGTGAAGGGCCTGTGTCCCATCGCCAATCCCTTGCAGTGTTAATGCTGTGCATAAAACCTAATAAGCTACTAAACTTCTTAACTAACCCCAGTGTCCCGCCCTCCCAGCCCCAAGTTTGTGTGCGTGTGGATTTCTCTAAGCTGCGTAACCGCTAGTAGCTAGTGTGTGCCCTGTACAAACCGTAACATTTCCACTCTAACCCCACCGTAGTTTCATCTCTCAGCCACAGGTTCTCATCTCTCCCCTGTAGATTGACCAGGTGACTGACTAGTTCACATCCCGGACTTTCTAGCTGCTGCTTATTGTCACTGGTAGAAATAGGTGCTGTAGCTCACGTGCTTTTACAACCGTGTGATGGTTTGTAATGCAAAACTGCTTCGCCTTTGTTTAAAATAGGAGTAACTCTCTGCTCCGCCCTCTCTCTTCTTGATGCAGATGCGGACATCAAGCGGGATGCAGCGTCTAGCAGGAAGTCTTTCCTCTCCTCGGAATCCATGTATGTCCCACCGCCAGAGTGCGAGGCTTTGATCTTCACCGGGGCTCAGTAGGCTCAGTTTTGGGGACAGTCCGGGGGGGGGGGGATGGGCAAATGGAAACTTAAGTTGAATGCTGAGGGGCTTGGGAATTCCCGGCATGAGGGACCGATCTGTGGGTTGGGCATAGATTAGATTCCACACAAATAGGTCTCTTCTGCCACCGACTCCTCTAATAAACTGTCAGTGGAAGGAGAAGGGGCTGGGACCAGGAACCACGGTGAATGAGGAAAGTCAGCCCAAGGCGATGGGGACACATACATTCCCCACCTGCCCCCACCAGGCTCCCAGTCAGACCTGAGATTCACCCCAATCTCCCACCAGCCCATTTCTGTAGTCTTACTTGAAGTCCTGTGTTGCAGTCACCATCCTTACAACCAGGAGCTGGACAGGACTCCTCATCAGTGCTACTCCTTAACTGGCCAGAGGAGGCGCTGTTGAGTGGGTGAAGGCACTCCTCCTCCCTAGGAGACTGAGCCATCTGCCTCCTCATTACTCTTCCCAGCTGAGGGGGAGGATGGGTCATCACAGCCCCTTGGAAATATCATTGGTCTGTTATCGCTGGCAGCTTTCCAGAAGGCTGGGGGCGGGGCCCTCTCTGCCTGTTGGACTACATGTAAAAGTAGGCCCTGCTGGCAAAGATCACGTCACTTTATACTGTGTGTTCTCCTGTGTCTTGTCCGGATTCCAGCTTTGCTCGTTCCATTCTGCCTCCCAACCCCCCTGCAGGCTCTGTGATGCCCCGTCCCGAAGTGCTATGCCCTGGGTGCGCCCCACCCAAGAGGTAGCCGTGTGGGAGAAGTGATTCCTGTATGTAGTTTGTGGGTCTTACTTGAGACAATATGTTCTAAGATGAGTTGTCATTGTCAGTGCAAACTTTCACAAGTGGGGCTGGGAGGGTCACCAGTCAGGAGACCCAGGCTTTGATCTCCTTTGCACCCTGGCTGGGGGTGCCGGGTTATGCCCTGTCTGTTGTGGTGCTGATCGTCCTCTCTTGCTGTGCAGATCCCACTCCTTCCTCCATTCGAACTCAGCAGAGGCCGTGGCCATGGGCCTGCTGAAGCAGTTTGAAGGGATGCAGCTCCCAGCCGCTTCTGAACTGGACTGGCTAGTCCCAGAGCAGGATGCCCCCCAGAAGGTAGGCGTGTGGGGAGGGGCCTCGCTGGGGGCAGTCGCACTGATGCATAGAGGGCGCGAGCACGGAAGCTGGATATGAAATCAAGGGGATTCGTTTAAAACTAGAGGGCAGAGAACCCACCGCCCACACCAGCGAGGGAATCCTTTGCATGAAGCTCCTATCTGGTGCTTTCTGCTGGTCCTGAATGCAGGGCTGCAGCCTGTCTCCATCTCCCCGTGGCTGTAGAAGAGGAGGGAAGGCACTGATCGCGTCCCTCACGTATTCCCAGAGCTGTGTCCCTTCCACACAGTTAGCTGCAGCGCTGCCAGGCGGGTGCCTTGCACTCTTCTGGCTCCTGTAGTCCTTGTGTATGAATAGGGAGAGCAGGAGGACGGGGATGGTGGGTAAGATCTAGGGAACGGCCAAGGATCAGCACCCTGAAGCAGCACAGAGTCAAGCACAGCGGCCCTCGGCCTTCACCAGCAGCCCGGGGGTGTCACCCACGCAGCGCCTTGACGGGTCGTTTGCTGTTGGTTTTCAGGGCCCGAGATGGTCTCTCAGAAAGCTCTTTAAGCGTCCCCAGTGGTATAAGAAAAGGCAGCTCTCTAAAAAGCTCCGGCGGGTATGTTGGGAGTGGAGAGCGTGCCCGAGGGGTGCGTGCGTGGGGCACACGTCACGGAGTGTACTAACCGCCCGGACTAAACACCCCCCCGTGGCATGGAGCAGCGGGTGGCATGGCTGCGGCTGCCCCGCGGTTTGGCGTGGGGTGTGAGAAACTCGGCTGAACGTGGAGTTTGTTGTCGTCGCTGTTTGAACCCTCAGCGGTGACCGGCTAGAAGACTGCTCCCTGGCGTGTTGGGAAGCGAGCGGTCGCCATGCTAACGGAAGTGGCAGCTAGCGCCCGTATAGCATGGGCAGGCGCTGTGCAGGGCTTTCCCATATAGCCCCGCAGTCTTGACCCACAGCCTCTCCAATCTGGGCTCCCCATACCCAGCTCTGCCCAGGCCCCTCAATCCTGAGCCACAGGCTGTCACTGTTCTAGTGCCTAGGCCTCTCCTGAGGTAGACGCTGCCAGACTGCTCCGTTTTGGGGTACTGGAGTTGATCAGTGTCAGAGGGGTCAGTGTGACGGGAGCGGAGGGGTTTCGGGGGCGTTCTTTAAGGACGCCGCGGCACTGCGCGTGGTGTAAATAGCATGCAGGTCTGTGCGCTAGCACTGCCCCGCGGAGCCGGTGGGGATGAACCTGGGGCTTGCTTTATTCTTTGTGCCCTATAGGCTTACATAGAATACCCGCTTGTCACGGATCACTGCCTTGCCACCCCCACGCTGAGCAGGGGTCCTGCTGGGCAGCAGTGCATTGTGGGGCATGACTGTCGGACTACTGTTTAAAATAAAAGACTGGCCCCCCAGCCATTGGCCCCAGCCCAGCCTTGTCCGCCTGAGCCTGGAGGGGATCCCTGAGGTTTACTGTCACCTGCTTGGTTTTCTCTAACTCGGGGTGGTTTGTGAGGCATGTTCTGTTGTCCTTGTGCTGCGGGGCTCCTGTCCTCTGGCTGGTGTGGTTCTGCTCTCTAGTTCCCACGCAAGTCCCCTTGGGGGTGCAGCTAAAGAGCCACCCCTGGTGTCCATCTAATCGATCAGTCACAGGGCAGCTACTGCGCTCCAAGCTCATCGCCGAGGTCACCCAGACTGCTGATGGGGGTCGAGGAGCCAGTCTGCTCCCCTCCGCTGCACTCAGCAAAGGCTGCGACAGCCTGAGAGTGGCAGAGTCGGTGCTGGGCCTAGAGTCCCAGAGCATAGAGCTCAAGCAGTCAGTCACAGTGCTACTGCCCACGGCCATCTCCGCTAGCACGTGACTTCATCCTGCTCTGTATCCCTCATGACCCCCGGCTCCGCTCCACCTGCCTTTGGAGGTCACCCCAGAGCCTGCTGCCCTCCACGGGCTGAGGGTGGTTCTCTGGGGTGCTGAGCGGCCTGGAAGCTGCCCCGTTCTCCCTCACAGCTATTTCTGTCCTCCCATGAGCTCTGGGCCTGTCAGACCTGCTCGGTCCTTACAAACCCAGGTGTGATCCTCATCCTGGAGTCCTGACACCTCTGGTACAACCTGGAGTGGCTGATGCCTCCCCTCTGGGTGTCCTCCTCTTTGGGACAAGTGCAGACCTTCATGCTTCTGGAATGCAGCCTATGCCCCAGTGAACCCCTAGCGCTGACATACCTGCTGCTCGCTTCGGTGAGAGCCCATAAAGCGTGCCCTGCTCACAGAGAGGCTGGAGCAGCGCCCCGTAATGGTCTGGGGACAACCTTGCACCAGAGGGGTACACAGAAACTTGGGAGGATGTGGAGGAGAGTAGGGAAGGGAGGTCCAGCTAGGGTGAAAGCATCAGGCTGAGCGGACAGCACTGCGCCCCCACTGTCTCCTCAGAGGCTCTAGGCACTTCCCAAGATGGGGTGCCAGCCCACTACTGCATGTGTTGTGATAGTACAGCAGGGCACTCGGATCGGATGGGAATTGTTCTCCAGCTCCCCCGGGAGACAGACCACTCCTGGAGGGGAGGTGGGGGTGGGGGACGAGCACGCCATTTCCCTCAGGATGGCGCTGGAGTTGCCCAGCAGGGCAGACCGGTGTCTGCCTCTGCAGTAAAGTTCAGTGTCTGACCCTCTCACCTGCCTCTTGCAGCTCCTGCCAATTCCGGACTCTCTGCCCATCTCACCCGACGACGGAGAGCATGCCGACATCTACAAGCTCCGAATCCGGGTCCGCGGGAACCTGGAATGGGCTCCCCCCCGGCCGCAAATCATCTTCAACATTCACCCAGCCCCAACGTAAGGAGCTGCGTGGGCTGCCCACCCCCTCTGGTCCCACAGAGGCTCTCCATGCCCCTCCGATCTCCCTCTCTGCTTCTCCCCTTCCCCCCAATTCTGCATCCTTCCAGCTGGGTAGGCCTGGGCAATTCACTCCAGTCACAGCCCTGTAGCTCCACTTCAGCCATCTGGATGGGCTGCTGCTTCCGCCGTGAGATGACGTCTCTGACCCCCTCCAAGCCCCTGTTGTTTCAGATCTGGACTGGGAATTGAGCCCTGCTTGGTGCGACACTAACCACTAGTCCTCCAAGCCTGGCTGTGTGTGTGTTTAAATGAGACCTGCCCTTCCCCCTTTGTCACTGTGTACTCAGTGCTCTGTGATAGAATTATTGTAGGACCTCCAAAAACACACCAACAGTGCAAAACTGCCCCAAGCGCTGCTGTTACAGGGCCCTGTGTGTCCAGCCCCCCTCTGGTGGCGTTCAGGGTACATGGCACAGAAAGGACATCTGCAACCCACGTTCCTGGCTGCATTTACAATAGATCCCCTGCCTGTGTCCTAGCGGGGGCATGAGGGGGGCCCACCTGCCCTGCTGAGCTGTTGTCTGTAGGTGCCTTGCAAGGGAGGTGTCACTACTCCCTGGCACTGTCGCTGGTGCCTGCACCCCGGTGCCAGCTGCTGTGCCTGGCACCTGCCTTGTGCTCTTGGCTGGTGTTGAGTGCCTGGCTGCCGACACCTCGCTCATCAGCTGAGGGGCGTGCGGGGAGCATCAGGATCCACAGGGCACAAGCAGGTGAAGGTAGTTGCAGTTGGTGCTGCCCACCCGTGCCCCCCACACGCATGGAGCTGTGTCCACCCCCCTGGCCAGTCGCTGGGCGCTGCCTCTTGCAGCTTTCGCCATATCCTGCTGAAACCACGGGGTGGCTTCAAGGCAGATCCAGCCACCTGGCTCATTATTTATCTGTATTATTGTAGCCTCTAGGAGCCCCAGTCACGGGCCAGGACCCCGTGGCGCTAGGTGCTGTACAGAACCGAGCAAAAACAGCCCCTGCCCCAAAGAACTGACGCTCTAAGCTTACGGTCTCAGTGGATCCACTTGGCACTCAGCTGTTGGGTGAGAGGGGAAGGCCTAGTGCTCTCTACCCAGCTGCCCTCAGCCCTGCTGAGCCAGGAGAGAGCAGCCCCTCCAGCTCTAACACCCCCTTCTCTCTGGGCAGGAGGAAGGTGGCTGTAGCCAAGCAGAATTACCGGTGCGCAGGCTGCGGCATCCGGACAGACCCCGGTGAGTGCTGGAACTCTGACCATGACAGGAAACTCGGCCTCTCTGAGGGTGGGGGGTGCTGCATGCAGATGAGACAGGAAGGGGCAATAGAGATGGGGAGTCAAATGGGGGGGTGAGGGGGGTGGATGCCAATGAGCTGGGGGATTGTGGGGAGTCTCAGTGCAGGGCACCTGGGAAGCTGGTGCAGCTTTCTCTGAAGGCCTGACACGAACCATGAAAGAAGACAGAAGTGGGGAACCGAGTTACCAATGGACAGAACCTGAATTCACGAGTGGCCTTGTAACTAACACGTAGCTAGTAGCTGAAGAAGAGGAATGGGCGATACGCCGGCAGCTGTGCTCCCGAGCACACTTTGTAGCGCGTGGACGGCTCCTAATCCAGACAGGGACTGGCTCACAAAATGAGGAAGCCCATCATAGAGTGTGATGCAGTGCAGCATGTAATGGGCACGTGTGAATCCGTTTCAGAATACGCAGATCTGATTTATGGTGATGTATATTTTGGAGCTGTGGGCACCCTGACCCCAGCCCCTACACCCGAGCCTGCTCAGCTCAGGCGTAGCTTTGTGGAGTGCCAGGAAAGACACCTCCGTGACTAGGCCGGATCCGAACGGAGGGTTTGGATTCCAGAGAGCTGGATGAAATGTTCTCCCACAACTGGACGGGGTGTTCTGGATGAGCCGAGCAGAAAAGGGCTCGGGGAGTCCCAACATCTCCCAGTGAATGAATCTGCCCTGGTGTCAAAGGGGAGCCTGTGTGCTAGCATGCACTGTGGATGGAGCAGCGTGCTCCCCCAGGAGGCCATGGGGACAGGGCAGGCCGGGGGCAGCCAGTCTGCCTCTCTGAAAGTATTAAAGTCCCTGGCCCCATCACTGAGCAGAGTCAAGTAAGTGAGGGTGGCTTCGCTCATTCGCACTGCGGAGCCCCTAGTGTCTGCTCCGATCATTCCTCTTCAGTTCATGTAACGAAGCTGCTTTCCATCGAAATCCCACAGGCGATCAGGCTGAAGGGGCCCCATACAGACAGCTGCCTTGATATAGCATTCACCTGCTGTGTGTTACCAGTAGAGGCCTCTGAAGCAATTGCTTGTCCTAAGTGTATAGCCAGGGATGGTTGCATGTGATCCATAGGCAGATCCGGGCCTCATAGACCGCAGGGAGACCACAGATCCCAGTATGCATTGCTCTGAGCTGAAACAGGTGCCTTGTCTGCTGGGACATTTAGGGTATGTCTACACTGCAGTTAAACACCCACGGCTGGCCCATGTCAGCTGAGTCGGGCTCACATTACGGGGCTGTTTAATTGCAGTGTGGAGGCTCGGGCTGAGCCCAAGCTCTGGGACCCTGTGATCCCAAAGCCCGAGCCCCAGTTAGCTGACACGGGCCAGTCGTGGGTGTTTAATTGCAGTGTAGACATACCCATAGCATCTGCAGACTACATCACCCACCCGTGTCAGGCATTCGCAATCTGCTCCCCTTGCTGCTGATTAAACACAGACCTCTGGCTCCTGGGGAGGTGCCAACACGGTCCTTAGCTGGGCAAGGCCTGGGCCAGCTGGGCAGAAGTTAAACTCCCTCTCCGGTCTGCCAGATTACATCAAACGGCTGCGGTACTGCGAGTATCTGGGCAAGTACTTCTGCCAGTGCTGCCACGAGAACACCCAGATGGTCATTCCCAGCCGCATCCTGCGTAAGTGGGACTTCAGCAAGTACTACGTCAGCAACTTCTCCAGGGACCTGCTGAGCAAGATCTGGAGCGACCCGCTCTTCAGCGTGCAGGACCTCAACGCCGCTCTGTACCGGAAGGTGAAGGCTCTGAATCAAGTCAGGGTAAGGCCATGTCCTGTGCTTTCCCAAAGAGACTGAGGGGTTTAGCCTTCCCCTGAGAGGCAGTTGTCACTCCCATCAATGACCCATGGAGCAGGGAGTAAGACCCACAGGGTGGGGGCATTGGTGCCTTGTGGTGGGCACGCCATCTCCTGCTCTTCTTTCATTAGTGGGCCAGAATATCTGGCTGCTGCTGCTACTTACCCTTCTATATGGGGCCTCTTGTCCATAGATTTCAGAGCATATTACAAAGGTGGGTAGGTATCATCTCCATTTTACAGCGGGGGAAACTGAGGCACAGAGAGCTTGAGTGACTGCTCGCGGTCACCCAGCATGTTGGTGGCAGAGCTGGGAATAGAAGCCACCAGTCCTGGGCTCTACCTACTGGAAATGCTGCCCCTCTCACATCTGCTTAGAGTAACCTCTGCAAGTGTCCAGCTCCTGGCAACCTTTCTGTTGGCAAAACCTGCCTGTTTTCATTCCTTGTAATGTCCCTTTAAGGGGCCTGGTAGGTGACGTATGGAATCGGACGTTCCAGAAGATCTGAAGTAAGGAGGGAAGAGACTGTTACTTGTTAAGCCCCATCAGGATTTCTCTAGACTGATCCTGTCAGACGATAGCTGATGGGCAGATGTTTTAGAGGGAGGCTTAAAACCGCCATAATGCATGTTTCCATTGCACATCTTGTTCACTGTGCAATAGTACATGGTAGAGAGGAATTTCTTCCTGACTTCCAGCTGGTCTTCAGTTTATGCCTTGAAACATGAGGATTGCTAGCCCTCCTGGTTTTATCCCAGCTGTTTAACTGCTTCAATGCCAAGAAACCCAAAGCTGGTTGGCATCAGAAACCGCTTCACAAGAGCATGAGTTGAAACAGACTAGAATGGGTTCGGTTGAGGCCTGCAATTCTGTTTGTTTAATGACAACTTTATACTCTGTTTTTCCCCAGCTGTTGAGAATCCAGCTGTTTCGCTTGAAGAACATGTTTAAGACCTGCCGACTAGCTAAAGAGTGAGTACCAGGGTCCAACCAGAATTTAACTTGCATCAGTTTCAGTATCTCCTGGCAGGCTGTCACTTGGCAGCTTGACATGTTAGCTGCTGCCCAGACCTCTGCAGGGTGGGGGCTTTCAAGGATCGTGGCAAAATGTTCAGCGGCATCGGAGACCAGTCCCCCCCGCCTCACCCCAGTCTCTCCCACGCTCCGCGCTGTGGCAGGCCAAGCTCCAGTGCATGGAGCATTCTGAGAGCAGGCCAAGCACAGACGGGCCCAGCGGTTGGGTGTGTGTCTAGCTTCCGCTGACGTTTGCTGGAGAAAGAGGGGTGTTTGAGACTGACCCTTGTGCTTCCTCTGTGTCCCTTTGGGATCCCCCACTTCCCAAAGGCGCTGCACCTTTCATGGTGATGCCTTGCGCGGTAGCTACTGCCTCTCTTGCTGACGGTGACTGAGTCGGGCTGAGTGGCCGTGAGGGGGCACAAGGAGTGCAGATACAGTAACTGGCCCACGGTTTCCTACTAACCACCAAAACCCACCAGGCCCTGGGAGGGGCTCAGTTTCAGGGAGGGGAGGTTCTCAAACGGCTCAGAGTCAGCAGAGACGTGTGCCTCAGTCGTAGCAGGCTCTGCTGTCTGGGTGCCTCCCTCACTTGGCTGCTGTCTAGACTCGGGCTCGCCCGGCACCTGTGCAGGGGAAAGGACAGCTGCTTTGGCAGGGATTGGAGCAGCCCGAGCACCCTAATGGGGACCCTGGAGCTGAGTGGGACGTGCGGGTGTCGGCTGGGACAGAACCCGCTAAGCTAGAACAGGGTGCATGGATGAACTGGGAGGCAGACGCTATTGCTGGGTTTCCTAGGGCCCTGCATGGAGGGAGTGGACTCCAGAGAGGTGGCAGTGCCCGCGTGGGGGTGGGTCACACAGTGTAATTGGCCCAGCGAAGTTGCCGTACTTCACACTCTCCATAGAGTGTTTGGCGCTGAGCTCCGGTGTCTCCATCCCTGCAGGCTCCTGGATTCCTTCGACACGGTGCCAGGTCATTTGACGGAGGATCTCCACCTCTACTCCTTAAATGACCTGAATGCCACTAAGAAGGGGGAGCTAGTTCCCCGCCTGACGGAGCTCATAAAGGCAGGTACCCTGCACGTTGAGAGATGCATGGTGGGTAATTTTATCATCTTCTTCACTAGAATGTTTTTTATTATTACTGGATTAGACTTTACTGTATAAACCGCCAAGGAGCGGGAGCTGGCTTTATAAAGGCAGCAGCAGGATCTCCAGAACAGCTGCTGAGGGCAAACACATTTTGTGTTAGCTGTTCTCCTCCTCCAGTTACTCATATGGTTGTTATCCTGTGTGTGTGCAGAGGAGTTTCCTTGGCACAAGAGATCGGCGTTGAAGAATAACACAGCCAGTTGGTTCCGTCTCAGGAAGAAGCTGCGTTTTCCCATAACCTGCAGTGCACCCATTTGCCGTCTCCATGTCTGCTATATAAAACTGGGCTGTATTCCCCTCTGAAACGCATTGGGATGTGCTTTGTCACATTCAGGATGGGGAGGCAGCTTGGCTGGTGGTTAGAGGAGGGCACCGAGTCAGGACTCCCGGGTCCTACTTTCAACACTGCCACTGATTTCCTGCATGACCGTGGGCAAGTTGTGTCGCGGTTCTATGCCTCAGTTTCCCTACCAGTAAAAACAAGAAACTTCCCTACTCTGCAGGGGAGTGGTTGAGGCGTGCCTTTGAGAGCCTCCAATTGGAGGATGCTGCATAGTCGTAGTAATGGTATCCAGCATACAGAGCACCTTCCCTCTTGGCATACAGCGCCCCATGTAGCCTGGCCAAGAGATCCGTGGTCACCGTCACCACGGCTGTGGGTAACAGCATGTGAACTGCATCCCCAGGGGCCTGAACAGTTGGGCATTTCCCTCCGTTTCATTCCCAAATGGGCTAGACATGTGCGATCTTACAGAAACAGTCCCTCTAACGACCTGCTTAGATGCAAAAGCCCTGCATTAAAACAGACTGTGTGTCTGGGTGAAGAAATACCAAGTTGAGAGTTTCCAGGCAGCTGTGACTCCAGATAACAGCATTGGCCTGCTAAACCCAGGGTTGTGAGTTCAGTCCTTGAGGGGGGCATTTAGGGATCTGGGACAAAAATCTGTCTGGGGATTGGTCCTGCTTTGAGCAGGGGGTTGGACTAGATGACCTCCTGAGGTCTCTTCTAACCCTGATATTCTATGATTCTAGTCTATAACAAACAGAAATAGGAAGGGATGCTCCAGTCTGCAGGGGAAGAGGAATCTGGGGGGCACTAGTGGGTCCTTTGAATTGCGGATTTCCCATCTCATTTTTTTTGATTAACCCTGTCGTTGCTGATCCATTCGATCGTGTTGCAGTGTTTGTGCTTGTTTTAACTATTCTCCTTTTCTCTAATGAATTTGGTTTTAAGAGATGAAATTTAAACCCAGTTTGAATGCGGGGAGGGATGAAGTGAGGTTGGGAGATGGATCCCAGCAGGGCCGGAGATGTAACATTTGCTTTCACCTCCTCCCTCAAGGCTGAGCTACACTGCCAAAACGACAGTGGGGACCTGGCTACGACACATTTGAGGTGGTGAGAACACTGGTGCGTTGTTTAGTGTAGATGGGACCTAACCACAGCCCTGAGCCAGGCTGCAGCCCTGATTTCTCCAGGACTGTAGCCAGTTCAGGGTCCCGTCTACACTGAAGATGAAACAGTGTTTTAACTCTGTCATTGGCAACTATAGTGTAACCGGTTCCTCCTTAAAGTGGTTTTTAGAGGGTAGATATGGCCTTAATTTTCTGTGTGATGGGTGACTTCACTAATTGTCTTTAAAAACATTCCAAATGGGTCTCCTTGAGTTGCAGCTGTTGGCTGTGTGGGCCCCCCATGCGAGGGCAGCAATGCCACTCACCGCCTGTGGGCACGAGTTTGGGGCAAAAGACCAGAGAGGCTGCCTTGGCCTCTGAGACGTTCCCTACTGAAAGAGGGTCCTTGTCCTGGAACTCCCAATCTTACTGGGAAGTCAAAGGGGACAAAATTAACTGGACTGCCACTAGTTTGGCAGGGTTGTGCGTGCAACCTACTGCGCAGACGACACCGTTGTGGGTGTGTTTATGGTACATCTTTTGGTATAACCGCTACTACTTACGTTGTATTATGGTATCATTGACAATACTCTGGCACAGCCCATGTACGCAGCAAGACATGGGCATTGCCCCGAAGCGCTTGCGGGTATGTGTGTAATCGAAGAGATACAGAATGCCTGGTTCCTCCACCGCCACCCAGCAGACAGGCGGCCCGGCTGTTTGGAGATAGTGCCATCAGCGAAGCTGCCTGTGCTCCGGGAACGCTTTTGGCCTATGGCGTCTCGCATAGACAATGTCTCCAGCCCCCTGGAAAGGTTGGAAGCTCGTGGGTCATGTCCAGCAGCCAGGCCTAGCTTGTAGCGGGTGGGTGAACAGCTGCACGAAAGCTGCTCTCGAAGCTGGTGTCGTCGCATCCCGGCAATGGGATGAGCCTCTGATTCCCACGTTACTCTCGGCGCGAGATGTCTCTGAGCGCGAGATGTCTCTGTCTCTGACTTTGCCAGGGAAATCGGGTGCATTTGCCTCTTCTCCGGGGCGTTTCTTCTTCACTCCTCTCCCCTTCCGTTGTTACAGCTGTGCCAAGCCAAAGGCTTCATCTGTGAGTTCTGTCAAAAGGAGGAGGACATCATCTTCCCCTTCGAACTGAACAAGTGCAGGACGTGTGAAGGTGAGACGCTGGCATGCGAGGCGCTGGGAGCCATCGCTGGCCCTGGGCGATGGCTGGGCTGGGTCCACGTCTCCTGGAGCGAGTTTAGTGCAGGTGGCAGGTGCTGCAGTGACTGCTCTGGAGACCGAGCTGGTACAGACCCGGCAGAGTCAGGAATCCACTGCTCTGCAGGGTTTGTCCAAGGCTGTAACCGCGAGTGCCTTGGCTTGCCCCTAAGCATGGCCTGTCTGCACGTCGCTTGTTTGACGTTTGTCTAGCCACCTGGCAGCAAGCCATGCTCAGCCTACGCCTCTGACCTGCATCAGCACACAGCTGACTCTCTCTAGCCGGTTTGACATGCTCCCTCGCAGGGTGGCCAGAACTGGGCCTGTGTATCTGGGGGTGGCCAGTAGAACATCCCAGAGTGCACTGCACCCAGCGCACACTAGCCGGCACTGCGGGAGAGCTGCACGCAGATGGGCAGCATGCTAAGTGGGGGTGCAAGAAGTCATTTCCACGGTGGCTGCGGCCTGCCCTACACCTTGTAAGCAGGTCAGATGCATGACACACATCTGGAGTGTGCACTGGGCACAAGTCTCAATCTTCATGGCCATTCTGACTTGGGTGCCTTTAAGGTTACTAGCCAAGGAGTCCGGTAACCAAAGCGCTTTGGCCGTGTGGCGCTGGACTGAGACTATCCGATCATTTTACTGAAGCCCCCACGCCCTGGAGTTGGTAACTGGTTTTGGTCACTGTTGACCTGTGCTGATGGCCACGTGCACAGTAGCGCCGTATGCCGGCACCAGTCTCCTGAGCCAACCAAACCGCCCTTGGCAATCTACAAATGTGGCTGTCCCTTTAAAATTAGACTCTCTCTTGCCACAAGTGTCTTCAGTGAAGGCCTTTTGTTTAGGGTCACCCTGGCATTGGCAGGGCAGGAAACCTTTGGGAAAGGGATGAGATGCAAAGTGAAATTGACCTATCTAACATTGCTGTCCAAAACTGAGAGAAGTCCCCCAAATTCCTTGGTTTCCAAGTGCATGCGGTGGGCTGGGTGCTTTCCAATCACTTGGGCGCCATCCCTACTCCAAAGATCTTTCCGTTTAAGAACCACGTAAGAGGCGAACCAGTCAGAATTGTAACACCTTGAGAGCTGATCATCCAAGGCGTTGGTAACACGCTCCGTCCCTGGCCAGTGACTTAGCGTCCCTCCCGTTGGGTGTGGGCAGGCTGTGCCCGGAAGGGGGAGCGTGCCGACGCTGCCTGTGTATGTGGCTAGGCCCCAGCTCTGCACTGATGGCGTTGCTTTCTCTCTCTCCCTCCCTCAGAGTGCAAGGCCTGCTACCACAAATCCTGCTTCAAATCGGGCTGCTGCCCCCGGTGTGAGCGCCTGCACGCCAGGAGAGAGCTGCTGGCCAAGCAGAGCATGGAGTCCTACATCTCGGACTACGAGGAGGAGGAGCCGCCAGAGGCAGTGGCCGCGACATGAGTGTGGTGGCGGAGGGCGAAGTGGAGACCAGCGGATGTATTTGCGTGCGTGGCCTTCGTCACCAGAGACTAAACTAAGGACTAACCTGACTCTTTCACAATAAAGGAGCCCGTGGGAGGGCTGAATTGTGGGAGATCTCGGAGCAGCTGGCCCTCACGCGCTGACGGGATCGGCTTGGTTTGCTTCAAGAGAGCCGGTTTCTTTGCTCTCTACACGATGGTGTTGGGGACGGTGGACTCCGGACGCTAGTTCTTGCAGTTGTGATCCTGCAGAGGTGGACACACTGCTGCCTTCGTACAGGGTCCGGTGGCGAATCCTGTCTGTGCCACACTCCGAGCGCAATGAGCGTTTGTATGCCAGTGTGCTCCCCTGGCCCCTTAGGGAGGAGCTCAGCCAGACGCTGGCTTAGCCAGGTTCTTGAGGAGCTTCCACCAGTTAGGAGGTGAAAGCTCCTGTCTAGCTCAGCTCTCCACGGGGGAGTACCTGGAGTCCTGCCGCTGCCTAGGCTGGCTGCCTTGGGGCAAAAGAGAAGGGGCTTTTGCCAAGTCCTCTGCCTATAACACGCCATATCCTTTGCCGCTGACGTGACCTTTTTAACTGTCCCTTATTCAGAACTGATATGACTTGATTTGGGGGTGGGGGGGAAGAAGCAGCAGCAAACAGCGCCTTGTCCTCTGCCTGGCGGGAGCCGTCACGAACTGTGGATACCTGCTGGGCTGGTAGATCAGGCTAGTGCACGCGGACTGTATGGGACAAAGGAGTTGATCTGATTTTCCCTTCGACCCGGCCCTGCTTTAGCTGCCTGCAGGCTGGGGGAGAGATCTGTGCCAGTCGCTGTCGGGAGCAGCCCCCGTCTCTGCTATTGATGTTCGGTTCCTCAGACTGTGCCTGGTGCTGACGGAGCTCCCACCTGCTGAGTGAAGGGCTGGGCTTGTCGGCCCAGAGGCGTGACCGCCACCTTTCCCACAGCGCTAGGTGCCGGGAGATCGCCCTGTGCGATGCTCTGGCGCTGGCAGCAGGTGAACAAGGGGCTTCCGCTCTCTGGGCCGGAAGGCGGGGAGGCCACAGACAATGAGGAAGCTGCATGCCCAGCGCGGGGAGAGGAAACGCCTTAGCTGAGCCGGAGGAAGCAGCTGGCCTGAAGCCGGCTTCTCTCTGCTGACCTTGCAGGAGATGAGCTGCCGAGTGCTGCTGTTACCCTGGGCTGGGGGCAGTGTTCACCCAGGTCTGTCTGCCGGGGCGGGGGGGCTGGGCAGTTACTCTTATATCCAGGAGCAAGGATCAGTTTGAACACAGCCAGAGCTCAATGCCGGGGTGCCAGGCGGAGTGGGGGCTCCTGCACCAGGCCCATTGCTGGGCACTCAGGTGACTCCACGTGACACTCACCCCCACTATTTCGGAGCTTGATGAAGCCACGGTCAGTCTCAGTGGAGCCTTTCTCCCATCCATGCTGCACCCTCGGTGTAATGTGTCCTCCCTGCAGTGGATTCTGGCCAGGCCCGTTCCAGACCTTGGTGTTGGTGTGTCGGGCCTGCCAGTTTGTGCTGGGCTCCCCTGATGCTGTGTGGCCCCAGGCTGTTCTGTGACTTGCACCTTTCACCTCCTGCTAGCAGAACGCTCAGGGAGGCAGACAGAGCAGGAGCTGAGCAGGCCCCACGCTTCAGCCAGCTCCCTTGGCTTTGAGATGAGAGCTGCACTTCTCATCCCCCTGGATCGGGTGCCCGTTGGAGTGACTGAGTAATGAGCGTGTCTAGCAGGACCGCCAATAACCTGGTAAAGGAGCCGCCCCCGAGCGCACTGGGTAGAGCTGGCCTTGTGATGCGGAGCGCCATGTAGTCAGGAGATTAGCCCGGTCCAGAACTTCTCCCCAGGACCCCACGCTCCTCAGTCACTGCCTAAACCACTTTGCCCTGCTGAGCCATGTGTTTGTGTGGAGGGATGTGGTCGTCCACAGTGCCCACTGGCTGCCCCCGGCCCAGCGTTCCTCAGATCTGGTATCAGATCAGTCCCCAGAGCAGGGGTAAAGCTGTTTATTTGCCATCCGGAGCCCCCCCCAGAGAGCCAGTGCCCCAGGCCAGCTCCTCTTCTCAGTGTATCCCCTCAGTTGGGCTGATCTTTGTGTGTGTGTATATAGTGTTGTTTTAAGTTGATCTCTTTTAAAGGCAATTGCTCCTGTCTTTTTAATGAGCTGCTCTCGTTTGAGTCGGTCACTTAGGGCCAGATTTTAAAGCTATTTAGGTGCCTAACTCGCGTTGATTTCAATGGGAGCACGACACCCCACATCTTTAAAAATCTGGCCCTTCGTGTCCATCGCCAGCAGTACGGGAGGCATTTTCTGCCTGGCATGGACAAATTGCGCTCCTCCAGCATGCTAGCTCCGTCTGGGGAAAGCTCCTGGGAGTGGATGTCCTGACACCCAGCTGAGCCCGGGCAGAGTCCTGTGGCGTGGCACGGACGGGCAGCGTACTGGTAGTTGGTGGGATTTGGGGGAGTGTCCAGAGTGTCTTCAATATGGAGCTGCAGCCTGTAGCAACTCCCCGTTGGGGTATTCAGTGCTCCCTCGGGGCTGCACGCGGTGAGTGGACGTCTTTGCACGGTGGGGCTTGTGGTCTCTGCAGGTAGTGGCTGATCTCGGCTCCGGTTTATGGAAGATGGGCGTGTCCCTCGGCACACGGGCACGTTTCCAGCGCGGCCGTTGGCTGGGCACTCCATGTAGTCGTGTACGTCGAAAGGCGCGGTTTGACTCGTGTACGTGTGAGAGGTGGGGGGGTCGTGGGGGTGATGGTGGCGGCTCTCCCTCAGCTCCTGCCCTGATTGGTGGCTGGCACTTCAGGGCGGTGCTGGGGGGGGCTCTAGCCTCTCGTGGATCTTGCCCCGTTCATGCCAGTGGTGAATCCCTGGGAGAGCTGCAGAGGCTGGGGCCGAAATGAAACAGGCTGCAAGTGCCCTTGGAAGGAGGGAAGACGGCCGGGGCGGTCTGAGGGCCGGGGAAGGCTGGCTGCGTTTGGGCTCTGTCTCAGACAGGATGCGCTCGAGGAAGCAGCCTCTCCCCGCCACGCGCCTGGCAGTTATGTAGGTAGGTTGACTTCCTTGCAGCTGCCGTTTCCTCTCCTGCTGGAGGGCAGCAGACAAGAACCTGGGTGACTCTTCGTAAGCGGCAGCTCGGTGGGACCGCTGGTGTTTCTCCGGGGCAGAGTACTGGAAGGTGGGGGCTGAGGCTGATGGTGGAACCAGGTTCAGATCAGCTGTTCAGTGAGAGATCTCCATACTAAATGTATCTGGAAGCCAAGGAGCGACTGCTGAGGGTGTTACCCCACGGAGCAGGCAGCAATGGTAGGTTATTATTCAGGGCAGGCCTGGGTTTTGGCAGGTGGTTTAACCGGGAACTGAGAGTGCAGGAGCTCCAGAGGTGGTAGAATTCAATGCAAAGCAGAGAGACGCTAGCATTAATATCCCATTTCTGCATCAGAAGGGTGGTGGGATCAAAGCCCAGGGCACCTGTAGCTCGCCCAGAACTGACCTGTTGCATGTGCCTTAACTTGAGAACTGACAGTCAGGGTCTGCTTTGTGAGCTTGCTTTGACACCGCCCCAGCCAAGCTGTATTCAGTCGAAATGCCCCAGCCCAGAGGTGGCAGCAGCAGCGATCAGCTACCCTCCTGTTCGTCACATGCACGCCCCGTGTCACCTCCTAGCTTTCAGCCTAATAACGCCGCTGTACTCCGCTGATGGCCGGCAAGCTCCGGCTGGCTCCGAACATTGCATGTGCTGTGCCTGACGAAAGCCGATCCCGTCCTACGAACTGCAGGACGATTTTCACTTCTCCTACAGCTGTCAAATCCCTCCTTAAGTGTCAGCCACGCCTGGTCTGAGACCTGGCACTACTGTCCAGACCCATGGTGGTGTCTGACGGACCGATTCCCTCCCATGTGCCGGCTCTGACACAACACAACAGAACGTTCGATGGGGTTTTGTTTTGAAGCACTTTAACATGGTGGGGTGTTTCCATGGTGGCTAAGCCTCTCAGCGGTTCCTAGAAGCACTGATTATATTTCAAAAGACAGTGAGTGGATTTGTGGGTTTTGTCCCCCTTCACGGTGGGACCGTTCTGGCTGAGACAGGAACCCCGCCTGGGAATTCAAGACAGCGGAGGGTTTTAACGCAAAATGATGCACAACACTAATGAAGCTGCTACTGACCCGTTTGCCAAGCTATTACCGTACTTACCACTCTAAATCAGTGTAACTGTATGTGTACAAGCTCTTTGTAAATATAGAGAAGGGTCATATGATACAATGTACATGATATTCAATTGGATTCCTCTCCACTGTATTATTGTACAGCATAACAATGAAAATGCCGTCCCTAATAAACGACGTTAATAAGAAGGACCGCATTGGCTGCTCTTGCTTGACCTCTGCTGTATTGGAGTTTATTAAAGCTGGCTGAAAGAAAGTACAAAGATCTGGCTCCTAAGAGCCAGGAAAGCGCCAGTGCTGACTTCCCCAGAGTGCCGCTCACATGCTGGTTGTGTTCCTTTAATTTAAAAAAAGAGCGCGGTGGACAAGTAAAAAACCGAGGTCAACTTGCTGCTGGAAACCAGGGAACTACAGGTTGAACCTCTCTAGTCCGGCCCCCTCGGGACCTGACCGGTGCTGAACCCCAAGGGAGGTCAATGCAGAGTGCCAGCCCGTCTCCAGAGGTGCAGGAAGTAGGGGTGCAGGGGGTGTTGCAGCACCCCCAGGCTTTGTGCCCAGCGTGGCCCCCTGCCCGGGAGTCCCGCTGCACCCGGGGTCCTGGCTGCCGGCCCCCCACCCAGGGGCTCCAATGTCGGCACCAGGTCCTGGTCGTCGGCCCTTTGCCCGGGGTCCTGGTCACCGGCCCCTCTCCTGCTGCCCAGGATCCCAGCTGCGGGGCTCCAGTCCTAGCCCCAGCCCAGGGCTTCACAGCCACCCCCAGCTGTGATCTCAGCCTTACCCCTGTCCGTGCCCCTCACTGCCCCAGGCTGGGACCACAGAGGTGTGGGGGGAGGAGGGTGGAGGGGGGAGCTTGGCGCTGGTGGATGCTCTGCACCCACTAATTTTTCCCCATGGGTGCTCCAGCCCAGGAGCACCCACGGAGTTGCCGGACATGGGAGTGCCGGGTTCGAGAGGTTCTATCTGTAGTTGTGTTATTAAGCAGGATCGGGCCTGGTTCTGATGTGGATGGGTGACCAGCCCAGAAAGCCAAGCGATGCAGGAAGAGAGGTTCTAATTTACCTTTAAGTCAATATTCCCGTTGGATTAAACTGCACAGTTCAGGATAGGCTGTGTAGGTATGTTCTTGGCTTTACCTTTGACCCAACACTGCCCCCTAGTGTTCTGGGTAATGTTAGCACTGACGGGGGAAACCCTAACTCCACGGCTGTCAGGGGAGACACACTCCTGCAAAGAGCTGCGTTTGGTCAAGGTGCACGCTCTGAAAACAAGACTGCAGCAGAGAGCTTAGGAACACTCCAGAAACTAGACACTTAACGAATGAAAACGTGCTGGGCTGACCGTGTCTAGGCCTCCGCTTCACGGCCTCATGCAGCACTAACTGCTGGGGGTAGCCAGTAGTCCCCAACTGTCCCAATCCCTAGAGGGTCTCAGGCTGTCAGAGCAGATCCAGGCTGGTGGACCGTCGCTCTCAACTGAGCTGCTGCTTGCTAAGCTGCTGGGCAGCCCCAGTTCTTGTCTTCCTCTGATCCCATCGAAACGCTGCTGCAGAAATGACATGGACACTAGGGCTGGGTGTTGTAAGATTTAAGACACAGACCCTGCTGCAGGTCACTGGGCTTTTAACAGTCACTCTGAAAACCCTGCCTGCTTACTGCCTGGAGTGAGACAAGCATCCATCTCTGCCTGTGGTGGGGCAGGAAAGCCCCTAGAGGTAACGCAGCCAGTTGAGGTCCGTGTGTGTCGCCCCGGGAGCTCCCATCTTCCCTGCTCTGCGTGAAAGCTGAGATCCTGCCGGCAGCGGTGGATTTGCGCTGAGATTCCCCCACCTCTGCCAGCAGCTCGTTCTAGACGCAATCAATCCAGAAGCGCTAAGCTACAAGCCCAGCATCGCTGAGCTCTAAGAGCCAGGCCTGTCTCCCTGCTGCATGCGAGGGCGAGGCTGGAAAAGCAAGTGTCTCCTCCCCGAGCAGTCGGGGTGGCTGGCGAACCTGTCCCCTCTAGAAATATCAAAGAAGCTTTTAGAGCTGTCCCCAGCTAGTAGGGGGAGGTGGCACAGCTGGGGCTGTGCCAGAGAAAACTTTGGGCATCCAGGGAAAAGCTGAGACTTGCTGCCCCAGCTCCCGGCATTGCGCCCGAACCGCTGCCTTGGAGGACTCCTGTAGACAAGAGGCAAGAGCAGTGGAGTCCCTGCTGGCTCTCGGCTCAGAGGCACGGGCCTGTCAATGGTATTTGGGGGAAATGCAAACGCTCGAAGGCCCAGCAGAGAACCCCCCCCACGAGCCCCAGCCGTCCTGTTTTCAGCAGGAGCTGCCCACCCCACCCCACCCGCAAGGCTACTGGCCCAGTTTGCGGGGATCGTATCTGCGCTCAAACTGCCCCACGTCGAATTTCCTCTTGCAGCCGGCGTAGTTCATGTAGCGGATCTTCCCGAACACGGCCCGCTCGGCCCAGCCCTGGTCGTGGATCCCGCAGATGGACCACATGCAGCCTGCCGGCACAGAACACCCAGTCAGGTCGCCCTGCCCTGCCTGTACCCTGCCTCACCTGTTCACAGGCCCCCCGGCCGCCTGCTACAAGCCCTGGCAAGGGAGGGATACGGGGGTGGGGGCTGAATGAGGGAGAGGGAGCTGGACAGGCCCTTTAACCAGTAAGGGGACCTTGGCAGCCCCCTCACAGCCAAGCACAGACAGGATCCCCCTCCCCAAGTTCTCTGGGGTTTCTCACTCCCACGCGCGAGTCACTAACCTACGTAGCCGCTGGGATCTCGGCCATCCAGCTCATAACGATCATTGAGGTAGATGGTGAACTCCAGGGCCTCCTCGGGGGAGCGGGTCCACTCCAGGATTTTCTTGGCCCAATACATGCGTAGGAACCCGTGCATCTTCCCCTCGTGAACCATCTGGAGCTGCAGAGAGGGGGGGACCCAGCGTGGGCACCGACGTGAGAGCCACCAACAGCCTCGCCCCCCCAGGGTCCCCAGGAGAACTTGGGGAGGGGGAGGGTCCCCAGCTCGTTGGGGGAGAGAAGGGAGGTGAGAATGAGATACACCTGCGTGGAATCTGGGGTGAAGAGTGAGGGGCGGGGCCTGCCTGGACCTGGCCTCAGTTTCCCATCTGACTAGGAGTTTTATGGCTACCTTACTGGCAGTGTCCCTCAATGGAGAGAACCAAACTCCCGCCTGCAGCCCCCATCTGGCTGGTGGAACTCTCTGCCCCGTGTACCTGGCTGGGGAATATCTGCTGTAACCCATGTTCAAAGGGCACACGCTGGCCAGGGGTGCAGCGAAGTAGGTGTGCTCTGTGGCTGGCTCTGCTATAGGAACCGACCAGGACTGGAGCTGTCTGGGGTGCTCGGTGCTAACACCCAATGGATCCAGGAGGGGAGGCGGAAGCTCAGGCGGGTTGGTACCTGGGCAGCGTTCCAGAGCGGGTCGTGCGTCTTCCCCTCCTCCAGCTGCTTCAGCTCGTAGAGGTGAGACCTCTTGTCCTGGGCGTGGAGCTTCAGGCTGGTTTTGGCCCAGTCGTACGCACCTTCAAAACACAACGGTCGGGCTGGGGAGCACATAGCGGGGAGGGGGGGAGGGGGCTGGGCTCCCTGAGAAAGGGACCCTATAGTTGGGTGATAGAGCCACTGGGCTGGAGGCACCAATCCTGCCAGCAGGTCTGGGCAGAGGCAGGACTAGCTTCCCCCCCACCCCAGTCACTCCCTACGCACCAGCGTGCTCTCGCGCACCGTGAGTACGGCAGGCTGCGGCTCACTGCCGCTCCCCCGCGTTACCTTCCACCTTGTCGTAGTTCCTGTTGTAGTAGCAGAAGTTGTCGGCCAGCTCCCTGCGGATCACAGCCTCCTCGATGAACCCATCCACCGACTCCTTGTATTTACTGCGATATTTCTGCACCTCCAGGATGGCCCGCTGGACGGAGATTTGGCCTGTCCGGGAACGGGGCGAGGAGAAGAGACGGGGAAGCAGAGAGGGCGTTTGGCCACTGATCCCTGTACTCAGGTTCCCATGGGAGCTGGTGTGCTGCCGGCCTGGCCTGAGCATGTGGGATCGAACCCGAGAGCACCATGGGCTCAGCTGGCACAGGCCTCACCCCCTTCTGGTGCACAGTGTTCCCTCCACTGGGATTGATCCAGTTCATATAAATATCTGCAGCATGAAACACCAACAGCCAGGCCTTTGTACCCCCCAGGCTGCCATGGGGCTCAGAGACCAACTCAATCAGCCACTTGGGAGATGCTCTCCCCTCCGGCAGACCAGATACCGTGGTTAACCCATCAGGGGACAGTCACCGGGGTGAGGAAGGGGACTGAAGCAAAACTACAGGCGTTACGGCCCCTCACTAGCCATCTCTCCTTGGCCCAGGACACTTACTTCCCCCAAGAGGCCATACTGTGCCCGGAGGGGTAATTACCTAGATCACTCAAGCCCGTCGCCCATCAGAGCGACGGGGCTTTCCGGGGGCCACTCACCGAAGTGGAACCACGGCGAGAGGTTGCTGAGCGCTGCCCTGTTCGGGTTGTTCCGGTCGGTGCCGAAGGATTTCAGGCGCTCGCCTATGAACGACTCCAGCACGGCCAGCCCCGCGGCCGTCCCCGGCGTCGCCCAAGTCACCTCCTTCACCGAGCAGTCCACCTGCAGGCTGGCGCGGCAGGCGTTCCAGTCTATGGGCTGCACAATCACAAGGAGGCTTTAGCCAAGCTGCAAATGTTACCATCCTGCCCAGGATGCTACGACAAATGGGGCCGGTTCTGATGGCTGCTTTGGACCAGACAGGTCCTCCCCTTACTAAATACACCCTGGGCACAGCTTGCTGGCACCCCATCTGCCTTTGGTTAAGCGAAGGTTCCTTTAACCCCTACTGCATCTGGGGATTGGAAATCAGGACTTCTGATCTGTTCCCAGCTCCGCCACTGCCTTTGTGCGACCCTGGTCAAGTCACTTAACCCCACGGCCTTGATTTCCCTCCCCCCCATTGTAAAATAGAGATCACTCCCACCCTCCAGTGGGGTTTGAAGCTTAGCTAGTGTTTAGGATGCTCTGCAGGGCCATGCAGCTAAAGAACTCTAGATGTTACCTCTGCCGGGGCTGTGGACGGGTACGGGTGCTTGATGACGGGAGGGAATTCCGTGAGGAACTCCGAGAGCTGATCATGGATCTTCCGTCGAATTGTCCTGGCTCCGTACTCCTGCTTGTCTGAGGCAACCCAGCACGGGACAATGTTGTGAGCATCAACCTGGAAAGCAGTCAGCAAGCTGGGAATAGGCAGGCTACACAGGGGATGAGAAACATGATCCCCCACCCCCGCCAAGCTCTGACTGACCCCTAGATCCACCCAAACCTTCCCATGGCTTTGTTTTTAATTTCAACTTTTTCCCCCCAGCAGGCCAACCTTCCCCTGCAGCCCCAGCCCTACAGCCTGGGGCGTGGGACCTGGAAATGAAACTGACTAGAACCAGGCCAGCCTCGGAGCAGGAGGAGACGCCCGCTCGGATCCAGCCAGGTCTCTGCACACCCTGGTTTGGGGAAGATGGAGCTAAGCCGCACAATAGCTCGGCAGGTGATTTTTTTAATCTAAAAAGAATCTCTTTTAACAAAAAAATAGTTGCTGAATTCAGCACAGCTGACCCCATCCCAAAGGGTCTTGTGTGTTTCTCTCTTGGCCCAGACATCGGCCAGGAACCTCCCCAGTCCCGGAGTGATTCTCGTGGGGAATACGAATGGGACGTTTGAGCCGAGTGGAAATGTCTCCCTGGGACAGTACGTGTAAGGAGTTACTCCCTGCGTCTGCTGTCACCAGCTCCATGCAGTGGCCGCATGTCCCCGGTACAATCTCCTTCACTCCCCCCTCCCTCCAGCTCCTTCCCTGCCCCCAACCTTCTGACTCCGTCCAATATACACCCTCACGCTCAAAAACCTTCCAAGTGCCAGAACTAGATCCCTGCCCCACCGCCAATTACCTGCTTGAGTCCCCCACCTTCTCCAAAGCTGATTGTTGGGGGGCTCTCCCGGATCTTGGGGCCACAGTAGCCCCCTGCTGTTCCATCTGCAGTGACCAGCTCTCGACGCTTTTGTTCTGCCTCTCAGCCCCCTATTTAAAGGGCTGGGAGCCAGCTGTTAGTCCCGCTATTACCACCACCGCCTGGCGATCACATGCCAGCATGGAGAAACGGCCTATGTACAGAGCCCCCAGCCCCACCGCCGCACGCCTGCCTTCCCCCACAGCCCAGGCCCCCACCTGTACAAACGGCACATCTCCCGGGAGCCTCTCCTTGACGTCTTCCACCCACTGCATGGGGACGCGGAGCGGGGAGAAGTCTGTCACCACTCCGCCGAGGCCACGGCCCGTCACGAAGGCTGGCAGCACGTCCTTGGCAAAGCCGATGAGTAGGTGGAAGGGGATGTCCAGCTCCTGGCACTCCTGGAACGAAGGGAAAGGCTCTGGGAATATGGGGCAAAGAGCCCGGTTTCTGTAACTGCCCCTCCAGGCCGAGCTGCCCAGCACCACCCCAGCTGGGCTCCAACCAAGATTGGGCGCTCCACGTCGTTCGTGGCAGCACCCAATCCCTTGGGTGGCTTTGCCAATCTCTGCCTACAGTAACAGGTTATAAAGATCCCAGGGAGGGCTGCGGGCCGGGTCCCTGCAACTGACGTGACTTTGCTTTCCAGACAAACGCTTGGTGTTGCACAGAGATGTCGGGCCTGCGAGCAGCCCTGTAGTGCCAGGAGAAGGGAAACGGATTCCAAGTTCAACTCCCCCCCGCCCCTCATGAGAGAAGACAGCGTTGGAAAAATCCCGGCTCTTGGCAGGCTCGGGCCCTTCGCTCACGCTGGGACGTTGCTGAGAGCCGCACGCCTGCTCCCATCGCTGTGTGTCCTGGGCCTGCGCTCCGCCCCTGCACTGACCCTCCCCTCTGTGGCATTTCCTAAGCAACCGGTACCTCAGCCACTTCTTGCAGGCCTTTCAGCATGAAGCCGAAGTGACGGATGGTGGCCTCCAGGAACTTGGGCACCAGGCAGAAGCAGACGTGCAGAGGGAGCTGCTGCTTCAGGGCCAGGCGCTGGGCGTACAGGAAAGCCCAGTTATCTGGAGAGAGAGAGAACATGTGATTGCATTCCCAGGACACTTTGCCTTGCTACGGAGCAGCCCTGCCAAATGCTCGGCTCAGGCCCAGGTCTGGGAGCCAGGAGACCTTGGCTTCACAGCTCACCTTGGGCACCGAAATGAGCGGCCCCGCGCCTCGGTTTCCCCATCTGTGCAAAGCCCCTCGCAGTGTCGAAGCAAAATCCATCTTTCCTTGAGCCCACCCCTGGCAGGGGAGGTTTGTCTAAAGCCACAAACTCCAAAGGAAAACCCACGGAGAGCCGGCGCCCGGGGAAAGAGGAGGAGGCAGCACACGCCAGCCAAGAGTCACACGCTCTAGCCATGGGCATTGCCGAGGGGCTTCCCAACAGGAAACCTGCTAGGCCATGATGCTGGATGGGGAGCCCAGCACAGTCTGCATCAGCCGTGCGACCGCGGCTCTCAACTGGTGCCATTGCAAGAACTTGCTCTAGGGACAAGGGGGAGGGGATAAGGGTTCTGACTCCTCATAGTCTCTCCCCCTGCCCTCCGACGCGTCCTGGTCCTGGGATGGCTCATACCTTGCACCCTCTGGTCTCGAGACATCCAGTACACAACGCCCTGGGCGGCATCCTTGAGGTCGGAGCCCTGCGAGACCAGGCGCACTCGCTTCTTGTTGTACTTGAAGTCCTGCACAGAGGGGGCAACCTGCAGCCGCGCCTGCCTCACGGCTTCCCCCAGGCTCCCAGCTCCTCCCCCCTCCGCCGCCTCCCCTTCCTTCCTCCTCTTCTCCACGGTCAACACCTCCGCCCCACTGGGCTCTGCCAGGACCTTCCGTTTGCCTTTCAGCTGGCCCCGGGGCGCCACGGCAGCTCCAGGCCTCGCTGCATCCCCGCTGATCTCCTCCCCGCCACGGGCCTGCCGGTTCCTGCTCTTCTGAGACATGCTCGCTGCCGTCCTACGGGGCGGGCACGGCTCCGACACCCCGTGCAGTCTCCAGCCGCCACGCCGGCCAGCTGCAGAGGAGACGGCTCCAGCCAACCTTCCCAGCAGCAGCTTGTTGGCGTGAAACTATCTGTGGACAGAGAAACACACACCACGTTGTAGGCCTCTCTCTGGAGTTTCTCAGTAGACACTGCCTTTGTGTGACCCTGGTCAAGTCACTTAACCCCACGGCCTTGATTTCTCTCCCCCCCATTGTAAAATGGAGATCACGCCCACCCTCCAGTGCTATTCGGGGGCTATTCGCAGTTGCCAATAAGCATTCTGTGCCCCCACCAGGAATCTAATACCTTACCTTCCTTATAGCGCCTTACAGACGCCGATCCCAAAGCAACTTTCTCAACCGTTCACCGCAAGCCTCACGTCCCCGCTCTGCAGTGGCAGCCAGCTCTGGGTTGGAACCCGGCCGCTGTTTAACACGGCCCAGCCGTTCGGGCAGGAAGTGGAGAATATCGAACCCCACTGACGCTGCAGGGGTAGCAGAGACGGGCAGGTTTTAATTACTCAAAGGGGAATGTGGACCTGCCGTCAGGGTAACACCTGTCATGTATGAAAGATGCGACGGCCTCTTTCATGACCACAAGAGGTCGGGTCCACGCCTTGGATTTCGTCTGAAACACGGCACCTGCAGCACTACTGCCCTTCCTACCATCGTGCTGGGCTCACGACGGACTGTCCCCTACAGCCATCCCCTCCTGCAGGTCTCCTAGCCTGGGACGTAGGATAGTCGCCCCGGGAGCACGTTGGGCAGTCAGTCTGATTCCTCCTGCATCGCTCCAACGGTGGCTGCTCCGCCCCGCCGCTGAGCATACAAGCTCACAAATTCGATGGGTGAAAAAAAATAACCCTGCTGCATATCTTGAACTTGCCTGATCAGAGACAGCCCTGGCCCCCAGCCACCCTCAACTGCAATAGGTGTGTAAACTTGTGGCATGTTACACCCTGGCTCGAGCCAAACAGAAGGCCCCTGGGGGCTAGACGCAGCAGGCTGGGACCTGGCAACTGCTGCAGAGAACTCCTGACTTGTTGCTATCTCAAGGGAGCCTGTGCAGTTTTTCTTAAAGTCCCAGCTTCTGGAGTCATGTGATGATGGGAGATTCTCCGCTTCCATTAATAGAAAGGGGGGAGTTTCCAGCTCTTGTGATTGCGGGGAAAAGCTTGGAAAGAGAGTTCCTGGGGGCTCCCACCCCAGAAGGCAAAGCCACCGAACACCAGTGCTGTGCTTCTTTAAGGTCTCATTATTTCTAAGTTGCTTTCATCATTTTTGAGGGTGCGACTGATGGTTTTTGAGTGGTTGGGGTGGGGGACACTGGAGCAGCTCCAGCCCCTGCTAGAAAATTCACCCTTAGAACAAATGCCGTGCTACAAGCTGCCGCCTGCGGCCGGGACTGGCAGGCCGGAGCTTGTCCAGGTTTTCAGGGCTTGTGGACGGGGGTGGGATGCTGGAGGCGCTGCTAGGGAGGAGCTATTCCTGCCCAACTCCTGCGGTGCCCGGTGCCCGCTCTTACTCCGGAGTCAATCCACTTTCAAGTCACACTCAGACCTTACTCCTGCCAGACTCCCTGATGGAGACCGGGCCTGTCCCTGCGAGGTCCGGGCACCCAGGCTGGGGCAGCGAGACAGCCGGATGGCTGCTGCAGGGACCGAGGCTTGGGGAGCCGGGGGGCACGGATGGGCAGAGGGCTGGATTTGCCCGTGCGAGCCCTGGCACTTTGGGCTCAGGGCAGGGCGGCAGGGACAGATGCCCGGGTCAGGTCCCTCCCCCATGTCGAGCCTGTGCACGAGCAGGGACCTGCTCCTGCGGGAGCCCGGAGCCCCAGCCAGGCCGTGGGGAGCAGCCCCCCTCCAGCCCGCCTTGCCCCGCAGCCCGCCCGTCCCCCCGCTCACCTGGGCGGCGGCTCCGGGGCCCCGGGAACCCGCTTCCCACCCGGCTGCAGCGGCTGCTCCGGGCCCGTTTACACAACGTGGGGCGGAGCGAGCGGGGCACGGGGTGGAGCCTGGGAGGCGGCCCCAGAGCCACGGGTGCGGACGGGGATCTCTGGGGCGGGGCCCCTAGGCAGGGGGCAGCATCTCTGGGACGGGCCCCCCCAGAAGGGTGGGGGGATCTCTGGGGCGGGGCCCCCCGGAAGGGTGCGCGGATGGGGGCGGATCTCTGGGGTGGGGCCCCCCAGAAGGGTGGGGGGTCTTTGGGGCAAAGTCCCCGGAAGGGTGGGGGGATCTCTGGGGCAGGACCCCAGGAAGGGTGTGGGGGATGGGGGCGGATCTCTGGGGCGGCCTCCCCCAGAAGGGTGGGGGGGTCTTTGGGGCGAAGTCCCCAGAAGGGTGGGGGGATCTCTGGGGCTGGAGGGACCCGCCAGGGCAGTGTGGAACCCTGCAACATTATGTTGTGTAACTTGTTACATGACACACGTGAGAGTTGCTCGCCCTCGCCCAGCCTGAGGCCCATTGGTCCAAACTGTAAACCCTGGATAGAATGGAAACCACTTTGGCCCAGGACTGTCCGGGGAAAGCCGCGGGGCTGAGGACACGGATCTCCCGGCCTGCTGTTCTTAGGGGCCCGCCTCAGCAACGGGATTTGGGGCCCCAGACCCCGCAGCACCATCACTTCCTGCCTCCCGCTGCCCTGGGGCTCTTCCTCTGCTGGGGAGCCAAGCAGGAGTGAAGCGGGGGGAGGACGGGCAGGCAAGGAGGAATAAAATAACAACGAACGATTGTTCACTATTTGGGCAATTAATTGAGATTTCCCCCCCCCAAAAAAACCTGCCTGTATCGTCATTTCTGGCTCCTGCATATTTCTGTAGTTCTCAAAACTGTACAAAACAGAGAGATTTCAAATTACCAGTGACACTTTTTATTAAGGAAAAGTCATCATAAAAACGTTAACATTACTTACTCAGGATTAATATTCAAAGAACCTGGCTAAAGATTCTGCCTGGGGCAGGGGAACCATCTTCCTCTGAGTACATTCAAAAGGGGCGACCAAATTTCTAAATACCTAACCTATTTGTGGTGCTTCTCTTGTGTACATGGTGTGAAAACTTTTCCATTACAAGGACAGTCCATATGTTAATGGTACCACAATTCCGTAGGAAGAGGAGTCACATTTTTCCAGTAATGTCAATTCAAAGTCTAGCTGCTAACAACAGAAAATTGTTTGCAGTGTTGTTGTAGCTGTGTTGGTCCCAAGATAAGAGAGAGACGAGGTGAGTGGGGTAATATCATTTATTGGACCAACTTCTCTTGGCGAAAGGGACAACCTTTTGGGTTCCAGCAAGCTCTTCTTCTGCTCTGTAAGCTCAAAAGCTTGTCTCTTTCACCAACAGAAGTTGGTCCGATAATTTACTCCCCAAACTCTCTCATTCCTGGACACAACCTCCACATGTTCAGGTGTGTTCCCTTTTCCCCTCCAACAGAACACCTCCCTGGTTACAAAAATATGATGGCTCTTAACTGGAGGGAAGTGCCATCTATACGGTAATTTATAAAAATGTTCTTGATGAGCTACATTCAAATTACTTTTGAAATCATTTGAATGTGACAGTTGTTTAGTTAAAATAATATTTGGGTATTATAAATATGACTGCACTGAAGTATGGGAAGCTTTGCAAGGTGGTTGAGCTTGTAACGCTATCTTTGCATATCAAGATCTTTGCAGCTAATGCAAATCTTTATTGCGAAATAATTGGAAAATTTGATACAGAAAGAGAGTGCTTTTTGTTTCTTGGATGTTCACTGTTCATTTTCCAGCTCCATTTTATAGTCCATGTACAGGGTATTCCTCAATATGTGTGAATTGGGTTTTTCCATCATATTTAATTACATGCCATTGAGTGCTTGTGTGATGCATTCCCGATCTTAACGTAAGTACTCCCCTTCTTCCCACCAGAATGGATGCCTTCCCTCTACCCCATCTCTCCATTTTTGAAGGGATACTTTTGACAGGACATCCATCCTAAGAATGAGATACCACTAAGGGAAGCATTACAATTATATTGAAGTGAGTCTTTTCCTACTTAGCACTCACCCTAATAAAAAAGTCTTAACCATTTTGCATCTTCTTCATTATCATTCTCCTTAAATGTTTGATTCCATCCAGCATACACCTGGGATCACTATCGCTGCACACACGGCAGAAGACTATGGCTTCTCCAAGTGCTGAAAAGCATCATACTCAGCGCTGCAAAATGCAATGAAATCTATTCTGTCAGAAGAAGCAGGGGTTCTGAGGAGCATGCCTATTTTACAGCTGCCATGAAGATATCTGCATTGGGCAATTCTGGCTCCAATGATTGGAAGAAACATCTTGCAACTGCAAAACGTAGCAGCAGTGCAGCTTCAGGAACTGCAGAGCAGAACATAAATTCCTCTTTTACGCCAGAGAAACAGTCATTCAGCGAATAGGTTACTATTGCTGAATTAACGTTTTGCCAAGCAATTCCCGTTCGCTTTGCTGATCCTTGCACCAAGCTGGTAAAGGTCGTGTTCTCAGACTCTGCCATTGCATGAGAGTTTTCATGTGGAAGAACAAAAGCAACCTGTGTCACCAAAGAACTGTCAGCATATGATCTCACAAAGTCAGCTGTGAACCATGGCAGGTCAGGACCCTCACCGTAATAAGGGGGGAAAGTAAGGATGCCAATAACGAGGTTTTCATCATGAGCCGGTATTTTGATCAGGTTGCTAGACGTGTTAAAAATGACCTCCTGGCAATGCAATATTCCAAATGCAGAGACCCCGTGTTCACCACTGAACTCTGTTTTCATGGAGTACAATATTCCATGGGCAAATACCATTGGAATCTTTTCTGACTCAGCAAATCAGATGGTTGGCAAGAACAATATTGTTGTAAACAGAGTAAAGGAAACATCCCCCCGCTGTATATTGCTTTCCGTGTGTGTCTCACACGTGCCACTTGATTGCTAAAGCTGCTGTCGCAGCCACTCCCAAACCAATGGAAGGCATGTTAGTTGGTATCTTCTATTTTTTCAATGGAAGTGCACAAGGAAAAGAAGAATATGCCAGTATCAGTAGTGTAGTTGTCCTTGATCAAACATAGGGGAACTAGATGGCCAACTCTTCAACCCGCTGTAGAAAGATGCGATAGCCAAGGGGAGCCAGTTCTCACACATTACAACAGCAGTTCTGAAGTGGAGAAGCAAGGCAGAGTTCAGCATGTTGGTTGTTACTTCAAAGATGCCGAAATGGTCTCTTTTAGGCGCATGCCCTGAATGGTGTAGTGGCATCATCTTTGAGGTGGAAGATTCCAGCAGGGCCTTTGAATGACAGGAGAGCATGTATCTTCTCAGGAATCTCCTGAACAGATCTGTGGCGTTAGAGGCAGTAACCAGTGCTGCTGATGATATTTCCTCTCTGGACTTCAGGGACCAAGACCTCCAGAAGGAAGATGGGAAGCTTCCCATTGGCACCCAGGCTAAAATCTCCCTGTCAGCCAACCCTGATCTGGATCCTCGTCCATGGGGTGAAAAAATTCCGTTTTGCAACCGGCGATAAGTTATTGAAGAAGCTTCCACTGCAGGACCAAACTGTAGGGGATTTAGGGATCCTGCATCTTGAGATGAAAGTTTCCCACGTTGGTCTCCTCAGAAGAAAAAAAAGAAGGTCTGCCATGAGTGGAGAGGGTGGTAGAATGAGGTTGCCTACAATGGCATATGGCCCATCTGCAACTGATGCTAGCAAATATCTCCAATGGCTGGACACTAGATGGGGAGGGCGTTGAGTTACTACAGAGCATTCTTTCCAGGTGTCCACCTGGTGGGTCAACTGATATGCTCGGGGTCAACTGATCGCCCTATTTGGGGTTCCCCCGGGTCAGATTGGTGGAGACCCGTTTTTTTTTTTTGGCCTTTCTCTGCAGCATGGGGCATGGGTCACTTGCCGGTTTGAACTAGAGTAAAGGGTGGATTCTCTGTAACTTGCAGTCTTTAAATGGAGATTTGAGGCCTTTCAGTAACCCAACCAGAGGTTCTAAGCCTATTGCAGGAATGGGCGGATGAGATTCTGTGACCTGCAGATGTGCAGGAGGTCAGAGGAGAGGATCATGATGGTCCCTTGAGGCCATAAGGTCTATGAGGGGAATGCGTTTCAGGCAGACTATTGTTTGAGTTCATTGTGTGGTGGAGGCAAGTGTTTGTGTTGAACAAAAGAGGTTCACAGGAGAAGCATTCGGCACATCTACCAAAACTGATCAAAGCTCTCTTGAGTCTGCCCTATGATCAGGTTAGCATCAAATGAGTGCTTTCAGAGCTGCGTAGAAATAAAATGGTGTTCTGGGTGCGTATGTCCAGGGAGCTGCTATCTGCAATCCTAGTCTGCAAGAAAACGGTCATGGCTTGATCTGCTTTCAGTTCACACCAAACAGCAAGATGGAAAAACATCTCCAGAGTTATGAGACCGACTGAAGTTAAGGGCCATCCTTTGAGGTTGTACCACTTCCCAGATAACTAAGCGACTGGTAAGGGTATCACGTAGTGAATCATTTAACCTGTTTGCTGCAGCACTTGGGGTGTCCTTTAAATCACGGAAATAAGCAATGCAGCAGAACCCAAACTGTCTGCATGTTAGCAGCACTGCAAAGGACGGCGCAGTGCTGGAAGAATTTGTTGGGGGAGCTGCCCTTGGCGCCACACTCACTTCTCTCCTGAGCAACAAAGCCAAGGGCACTGGGCACAACTCCCCTGGGGAGGTAAGATGCCGTGGCTGTAGCCGACAGATGGAATAGGGGATGGAGGATGAAGGGGGCTGAGAGTTGTATTTTTGCATTGTTTGGACTGGGTGGAGAGGACTCAATTTGGTTACTGTGAATCCTGGACTTCAGATTTCTTTACCATGGTAGTAGAAAGAGAGCCTGAGACATGCGGCCTGGTGTAAGGCCTAAGGCCTGAACTAAAGTCAGGCCCTGCTGAGGTTAAAGTAGGGTTACCATACGTCCGGATTTCCCTGG